GTAAGGAATGGTGCCTGCCTGGGTGTTTTTTGTTGTTGCTGTTTTTTCAGACAGTGTCTGCCTGGGACCACTTGCCTCCCCTCCCACGTGGCTTCTCAGTCTTTTCTGCTGCTCTGCCCCCACCCTCCCCCCTCCTCTGCCCCAGTTCAACCCCCTCCTCTGCCCCAGCCAGCCCCACGGGTCCAGAGTGCTCTCTCTAGGGAGGTTCAGTGGGATGGATGGGTGGCTTGACTGGGGTCACGGCGGCCCAGTGGCAGGGGGTTCAGGAGCCTCTTGGGCAATAAGGCTCTTCTGCTGCCCTTGCAGGTGGAAAACGAGTCCAACGTGCTGCAGGACGGCTCCCTCATTGACCTGTGTGGAGCTACGCTGCTGTGGCGCACGCCGGCGGGGCTGCTGCGGGCGCCCACGCTGAAGCAGCTGGAGGCCCAGAGGCAGGAGGCGAATGCAGCACGGCCCCAGTGTCCCGTGGGCCTCAGCACCCTCGCCTTCCCCAGCCCGGCCCGTGGCCGCACGGCACCTGACAAGCAGCAGCCCTGGGTCTACGTCCGCTGTGGCCACGTCCACGGCTACCACGGCTGGGGCTGCCGACGCGAGCGGGGCCCCCAGGAGCGCGAGTGTCCTCTCTGCCGCCTCGTGGGGCCCTACGTGCCCCTGTGGCTCGGCCAGGAGGCCGGCCTCTGCCTGGACCCCGGGCCGCCCAGCCACGCCTTCGCACCTTGTGGCCACGTCTGCTCTGAGAAGACTGCCCGCTACTGGGCTCAGACGCCACTGCCCCATGGCACCCACGCTTTCCACGCTGCTTGTCCCTTTTGCGGGACCTGGCTCACCGGCGAGCATGGCTGTGTCCGCCTCATTTTCCAGGGGCCGCTGGACTAGGCTCCCTGGGGGCCCCCTGCTGCTGCGCCCACCTGCCCACCCAGGTCCCCCACCTCCTGCAGCCCAGAGGGAGCTCTGCATGTGGGACTCTACCTGCTGGCACATCGCCACACCAGATGGACGGGTTGGATGGATGGTGCCCTTCCCCTCTTAACTCTGGCTCTAAAGGGGGGTCTCTGGGACCCCTACCTTGGTCAGAATGATGGGGCCCTCAGCACCAGCTCTGTCCCGGGCTGATGGAGGGAGGCTCACCCCTACGCCCTGGCCCTTCCTGGGGCATCCCACATCATGCCACCTACACTGTGCCCCTGGAGGAATGAAGGGGCCATGGGCCCCTGACCCCCAGCTTAGGCTGGCTGTGCCCTGAGCCTGCCGACCCAGTTCCAGATAATCACCCTGCTGCTGCCCTGGGTTCCTCTATAAACCTTGCTGCTCAGCTGCCCTCACAAATCCCTCGTGTCCTGCATGTGTGCAACGCCTCCAGCCCCTAAGGGAGTGCCGGGTGGGCAGCAGGCTGGGACCGACATCTGCGGATACCTACTGTGGGCAGGACTCCTTGCCAAGTGGGATCTGGGGACACAGAGACAGAGACAGTCAGACCTGGTTCCCTGCCTGGTAGAGTTCACAGCCTAGTGGATGACAGACCAATTACTGAAGGACAGCATGGCTTCCTGTGTGCTGGGATCAGAGAATCACCAGGAGCTGTGAAGCTGGTCTCACTGGAGGGTAGAAAAGTGAGGAGTGAGAGAGGCTTCGCTGAGGAGGCGCATAAGGGCTCCGCCTCGTTGGACTGCTGGGAATCCCCACAGGAAGGATCCACAGGAAGTGGTGGGGGGGTACTTAAGGCAGAAGGGAGGCCGAGCACAGGCTCAGGTGTAAGTATGCAGGGAACTGAGTGAGAGGTTCAGAGTGGCTGGAGCATGCGCTTCAGAGGGCAGAAAGGTGGCTGGAACGAGATGCTGGCGCCATGCTGACAGGGAAGATGCTGGGTGAAAGTTCCGATTCTCATTTCTGGACAGTCAGGAGTTGAGCAGGGGCGGGGGGGCGGGGAGAGGACTCGTGGTTCCAGAGTGTTGGCTGTGACACAAGGGCTACCATCACCGAATGCCCACCGTGTGCCCTGCACTGTGCTAATGGTAATAATAACTATGTTCACTGAGCACTCACCAGGCACCAGGCTCTGCTTCTCAGAGGTTTTATTATTTAATCCTCCCAGTAACCCAGGGAGGGAGGTGTTACCATTTCTGTTTACAGGGAGATTAAAACACATGCTCCAAGTCACACAGCTGGAAAGTGGCCAAGTCAGATTCGAATCCGCAGCTGACTGCCTAGCCTCAGAGCCTGCCCTCTCCCCATCACACTGGGCTGCTTTCCTTGGACAGGGATGGAGGGGTCTGGAGGGCAACCCAGGTAAGGGGAACAGCATGGGCAAAGGTGTGGCAGGGAAAATGCTTGATGACCAATGAGGTGGGTGTGGAGGAGGCAGAAAAGAGGAATGAAGGCTGGGAATGTTGGGCTGGGGTCTGGTGGGCCTTGGTTGCCATAGAGGCCAAGTCTGAACTGGATCCCTATTCATCTTGGCTAAGTGTCGCCTCTTCCTGAGAGCCAAGGCAAGCTCGGGGTGCTGCTGGGATTGCCCCAGAGCTTTCCTGGGGCAAGCAAGTTGGAAAGACAGGTAGATGGAGGTTCTGGAAATATAAAAATCTGAAGAAGAGGCTCTGAGTACCAGCCTGACCTGGGCATCATCCCCAGTGGAAGACAGAGCCTTAGGGAGTACAGATTCCAAGGGGAGGGACCTGCCCTAATCCACACGGTGGGCTGGAGCCACAGAGACCAGACCGGGGACTGTTGAGAGGAGAGAGGGCACTTGCTGGTGGTGAGAGGAGGTGATCAGACTCTTGCTACTAGAGCATCACACTGTCACAGAGGGGGAGACCAGATGGGGATGCTGGGGTGGACTTGGGAGCATTGCAACTACACACACACACAGCCAGAGCAGTAAGAATCCAACTCTTTCCAGTTCCTCTCTTCTCACTCTTTTGAGAACCAAACAGGGGAACACTCCCATGCCATTTCTATCAGGGAACCTCAGACTCTCTAGGAGGAGAGGCAAGCAAAAGGCACACGTGCCACACGAGGGAGAACTCAGAGGTGTTGGTGGAGGGGGTCAGACAGCCCTGGTCTTGGTTCAGCTCTACCCCTTTCCAACTCTTGGAGCCTCAGTCTCCTTAGCTGTTAAATGGAATAACAGTCCCTATGTTGCCAGGTGGTTGTGAATGTATGGAGGACACCTGTAACATAGTATGTACTTAATATTACTTCCTCACCTTCTTCATTCCCATGGGCAAGAGCCAAGGTTGGGGATGGTCATGACTCCAGGGATTAGACTGCTGCATGTGACACTGTGTGTGTGTGTGTGTGTGTGTGTGTGTGTGTGTGTGTGTGTGTGTGTGTGTGTGTGTTGGGACAGGTGGAGGGGACAATGTGGTGGAAGGCTAGACCCCAGTTCAGGGACACCTGAGGACTTCCTGGGTGGCCTTAGGGAAGTCAATGAATCCATCAGCCTCCATTTCCCCATATGTGCAACAGGTAAAATGATATCCTATCTCAGGGTTTCTGCAAGAATTAAATGGGATCCTCCATGTCAAGCTGCTAGCACAGACCCTCAGGAAGTGCTCATATTAGCTGTGAAGATAAAAATGCAGCTCGGTTGGGGGTTTCCCAGGAGTACTGGGATCTTTCCTTGGCCTGAGCTGCCCACTGGTGTCCATGGAAGGCACTTCCTTCTTTATCTGTGTACATTTCAACCTCTCCCAAGTCAAGGAAGACTTTACACGCATGTTAAAGACAATGAAAATCGAGGCACAGGGAAGAAAAGTGATTTTCTAAGGACACAGACCAATTTATTGAGCTCCTCCCTACAATGAAAATCACCATCAGAGTCAACAGTTCACACCACTGTGCCAAGCAGGGCCTTGGGCACTTTTTGTGAATGAGAAACTGGTGCCACTCGTGGGTAGCTGCTGCTCTGGGCTGAGACACAGGTGTGGCCAAGGCTGGCAAGAAGGGTATCCCCTCTCTTCCACCCCTCTCTGCACAACACTAGGGGGCAGCACTACCCTGTCAACACTTCACTCAAGCCTACAACATCCCTCCGAGTAAAGACGATTTTTAGCCTGGTTCTCTGGCTGAGGAAGCCAAGACTCAGAGAGGTAAAGTGTCCCACTCAAGGACACACAGCCAGTAGGCAGGGGAGGCCTGACTGGACCGTAGATGGCCTGGCTCTGCCCCACCTCTGACTTGGGACCCTCACCATGTTCCCCACGTCGCCCAGGCTGGGCGCTTGGCCCTTCCACATGCCATTCCCCGCCCAGGCCATCCTCCTGTGAGTCTCTCCAGACATCCAAGGCTCGGCTCTGCCCTGGGCAGCCTTTTGGGGTCACAGGCGGCTTTCTCATCCGTCAGGCACCCGGCAAGCACCAGGGAACTGCCAGGCCCCTCGCCCCTTTGTGCTGAGGAAACTGAGGCTCGAAGATACTCCGCTGCAGCCCCCATCAGGCCCACGGTAAGTCGGTAGCGGTGCAGGGAAGTACTTGGGGGCGTTTCTCCGCGCCCCCCACACGGTAGGACCATGTCAGCCCTGGCAGGAGCCCGCTCACCTGTAGCCTCGATTCCCTGCGCGAAGGGTTTTGCAGTCTCTGAAGAGTCTCCGCCCCCTGGCCCTCGACTCCACCGAGGAAGGACCACATCACTCCCACGGTGCAGGTTCCCCCATACAAAACTGAGCTTGGGGGACTGGGAGAAACCCCAAAGGAGAGCGGAGGTCAGGACTGTGGGGGGGTAATCCCTGGTGCTCTGTCCGCGACAGCTACGCCGCCCCGCCTGGACTCGGGGTCCCTTGCCAGCCCCGTCTGCCGGAACTAGGCCACCACCGGCCAGGCCACTGAGGTTCCTGACCCCCGCGCGGGCGCCACCTGCCGACAAAAGGCCAAGGCCACAGGGGCCGTTCTGCTTACGACGCCGTGGTGCCTGGGGCGGGGAGCCGGCATGCCGGCGAAGCTCGCCTCGGCGCGCCTATTGGCTGAAGGCGATGCCCGTCCGGACCCCGAGGCCCGGCAATTGGCTGGTGGGGGCGGAGTTCGCGGAGCCCCAATGAATGGGGGGGAGCCGGAAGCAGGAAGTGAGTTTGCGATCGGAGCAGCTGCTGCAGGTGAGGTGAGGCGCGGCGCCCCGGGATTCAGGGTCACAATGTGTCATCCTCGGGGGACAGGGCGAGTCTGGGCCGAGCGCAAGATCATTCTCTTTCTGCCCCCCATCCCGTACCCCTGCCAAATTCATCGCGGCCCCGAGGCCAAGGAATGCTCCAGGCAGCAAAGGGTTAACACTCCTTTTACAGCCCAGGGGATTGTGCTATTGGGGAGCAGCATCGGGAGGGGCGGGGGAGGTTGGAAACTCATTCCTAGTAAGAGAGGGCTTTGTGGAGTATACTCTGGGTTGGGAGACACCCGGATCCCAACCGGGCAGTGAGACCTTCGGTAAGTTGCTTGGCCTCAATCTCCCTAACTGTAAAATGAGTTTTCTCCCAACTCTGAATTTCTGTAGCTAGGGTAGCTCCCCTGGCTCAGTACAGGGAGAGGACAGGAGAACGGAGGACCGAAGAAAAGGCAGAGGGGTGAGGGTGGGACAGATCCTGGGATCAGTGAGAGAGGAAGAGTTCAGGGAAAATCATTTACTGCTGTAGGTACATTCCATTCGATAGGGGTGACCTTGTGACCTCGTGACCTCATCTAATTTGCATACCCACCTGGTGAGGCTGGGGTTACTATCAATCTCATCTTACAGAGGCTGTAATGGAGGGGCAGAAAAGTAAAACAATTGACTTGATATTAGGAGTCTGGGGCTGAGCCAGGATTGGAACCTGGGTCTTCCAACTGGGACTTTGTCCTTATGAGCACAGTGGTGGGCAGAATTGAAGAACCTGCAGGATGATTCTGAAGGAGGAGGCTAGGAGGTCAGAGAAGGAGGAGGGGAGGAATGAGGCCTGGGGCTGGGAGTCCAGAGATGCGGATCTCTGCTTCTGACCTCTCCCTTGTGTTATTAGGCAAAGCTCTAGCCTCTCTGGACATGTTTCCCCAACTGTAATACTAGGTAGTTGGATTCAGTCTTTAAGTTTGAGAGGCCATGGGTCAAACATTGCCTACCAGAATATTTTGTAATCTCCTTGGGTGAGTCACCTAACCGTCACTGAGCCTCAGTTAGCATATCTGGTGCATGGGTACAGTGGTATTCCCTTCCTCATGGACTTTGGAGAGGATTAAATCAGACTGTGAGAGTGCAGAGTCAGGTGTGCAGTTGGCGTGCGATAAATGATGGCTGTGATCATGGTGATGGTTCTCAGCAGGGCCCATGGCGGACACCCAGTACATCCTCCCCAATGACATCGGCGTGTCTAGCCTGGACTGCCGCGAGGCCTTCCGCTTGCTGTTACCCACAGAGCGCCTCTATGCCCACCACCTGTCACGGGCTGCCTGGTATGGAGGCCTGGCCGTGCTGCTGCAGACCTCCCCTGAGGCCCCCTACATCTATGCCTTGCTCAGCCGCCTCTTCCGTGCGCAGGACCCCGACCAGCTGCGCCAGCATGCCCTGGCTGAGGGCCTTACCGAAGAGGAATATCAGGTCAGTTCTCTCAGGCCAACCTGCATTTCCTGAGTGGCTTCTGGGTGTGAGGGGCCAGGAAGCAGGGGTACAAAGGACTTTCTGTCTCTTTGCATTAGACGAAAGGTTTCAAACACAGGGACATCCCCTCCTGGAGCTTCAGTCTTCTCATCTGCAAGATATGCGTGAGGATAGTCTGTACGTCTTAGGGTTGTAGCAACCTGATGCCAAGATAAGTGGTGGCTGCTGTGATTATAACAAGGGCTGTGGAGTAAAGGAAACAGCTGTGGAGGTTCGGAGGCGGTAGAGGAATGAGTCCAGTGTAGGAATCAGGAGGTCTGTGTTCTGACCATATCTTCCTCTACCGTGTTGTGTGTCCCTGGGCAGAATGTTCTGCCTGTCCCCTTGTTTTTGTCTGTCTGTGGGTCTGTTGGCCAAGGAATACATTAATGCATTCTTAATGCATTACAGAAATGCAGAAAGACACAAAACAAAACAAAAAGATCATTTGTTCTCAGTGTCCTCCCCAGAGGTAACCACTGAAGATGGTGGGATATATAACCTTTTCAGTCCTCTGCCTGTATTGCATACCTGTACATGTACATATGCACATGTATTAGTTCCTTATTTTCTCTTTTACATATGAGATCACATTCTATGTATTCTATGAGTTCTGCTTTTTTCACTGAACACCATGTCTTGGAGAACTTACATGGGGTACGTATAAATCCACCTCATTCTTTTTTATTGGCTGTGAAGCATTCCACAGCAATGTACACTATAATCAATTTAATCTTTTCTTTATTGATGGACATTTAGGTTTTTCTCTACTCTTCTTACAAACAATACCACGATGAGCATACTTATGCACATGTGTGAGTAGGATCTATTTGTAGAAGTAGAATTGCTGGGTCAAAGGCTCTGTACATTGGCAATTGATTGGTGCTGTTAAATCATCATCTGAAAAAGCTTCACCAAGAATGTATGAGGATATGGTCTGTCTTTCTATATGTAAAATAAAGGGATTGGATTGCTTATCTCTGCGCTGAGGCCCAGGCTGTTTCTTCTACGTTTTTTTAAACTGTAAGTAATCACATCCCGTCTCTAGGCCTTGATTTACTCATTAAAAGAGCTAATAGCTGGGGAAGTACTTATTAATGGAAAAGTGCTACCCAAGTATTCATTATTTTCAGTGGGATTCTTTTGTTTGTAAGTAACAGAAACCCACCTCAAATTGGCTTAAATGAAGAAAAAAAAAAACCCTTGACTCCCAGTCTGGTCTGGCATGTAAGGAAGCTGAAGAAATTGAAAAATCAACAACTCTTCTTAGATCCTTAAGAGAAGTGAGGTCACAGGGCAAACTGCTGCCCCCAAAATTGGAGAGACAGACAGGCAGGTACAGAGAATCACAACTTACCAGAGCAAAAATTCACGAGCAGAAACCTCCACAGAACCAGTGCTGGGGTAGGAAAACCTGAACTGTAACTGACGAATTGCTGGAGGCTCAATGTGGACAATTCTAAGAGTTAAAAACTCCAAGGGGACCCAGTCATAAGGGGGGCCCACAGTTTGGGGGATTTTACATCCAGGAGCTTGACCTGGTTCTCATAATGAATTTCAGAGAAAATGTCCCTCATGCTCCTCACAGGAGGAGAGGAAAAGGAACCATTTTTGAAATATGCTAGAACATTCTGTTCTTCCTAACACAGTCTGCCCTCAGGAAAAACTGTTTAACCAGAACCAAACCTGCTAGGGTTTTATCAGAGCCTAACTGATCTGGAAGAAGGGAAATACCCAGCTCCATAGCTCTGACCATCTGTCCCACCTAAGAGGAGTGGTGGGAACATGGGACTGAGAAGCACATGTGAAGTTCATAGTCCAGCAGCAAAGGCACACTAAAGGACTGAGACCTAATCATGGGATTCTAGAATGCTTCCCCTGCCCCCACACCTTACCATCACCTTAATAAAGGCCTATTTATGACAGTTCCTTTTACCTAGCACATCATGTCTGGCTATCAAGAAAAAAATTCCAAAACATTCTTAAAGGCAAAAAACACAGCTTGAAGAGACAGAGCAAGTATCAGAACCAGACTCAGATATGGCAGGGATGTTGGACTTATCAGACCAGGAATTAAAACAACTATGACTAATATTCTAAGGGTGCTAATGGATAAAGTAAACAGCATGCAAGAACAGATGGGCAGTTTGGGATTAACATATATACACTACTATATATAAAATAGGTAAACAACAAGGACCTATTGTATAGCACAGGGAACTATACTCAGTATCTTGTAATAACCTATAATAGAAAAGAATCTGAACAAGAATACATATATAGGGCTTCCCTGGTGGCGCAGTGGTTGAGAGTCCACCTGCTGATGCAGGGGACACGGTTCGTGCCCCGGTCTGGGAAGATCCCACATGCCGTGGAGCGGCTGGGCCCGTGAGCCATGGCTGCGGAGCCTGCACGTCCGGAGCCTGTGCTGCGCAATGGGAGAGGCCACAGCAGTGAGAGGCCCACATACCGCAAAAAAACCCCCCAAAAAATCCATATATAGATATATACATATATATATCTGAATCATTTTGCTGTATACTTGAAACTAACACAATATTGTAAATTAACTATACTTCAATTAAAAAAAAAGAACAGATGGGCAATGTAGGCAGAGAGATGGAAATTCCAACAAAGATCCAAAAAGTGCTAGAGATCAAAAAAACACTAATAGAAGTGAAGGACACATTTGGTGGGCTTATTAGTAGACTTGACATAGCAGAGGAAAGAATCTCTGAGCTTGAGGGTATCTCAATAAAAACCTCCGAAACTGAAAAGCAAAGAAAAAAGACTGAAGAAAACAGAATAAGATATCTAAGAACTGGGACAACTATAAGCAGTGTAACATATATATAGTGGTAAAACCAGAAGAAGAAAGAAAGAAACAGAAGAAATATCTGAAATAATAATGACTGAGAATTTCCCCAAATTGATGTCAGATACCAAACCACAGATCCAGGAAGTTCAGAGAACACCAAGTAGGATAGTAAGTGCAAAACAAAAAAGAAAAACAAACAAAACCTACATGTAGGCATATCATGTTTAAACTACAGAAAATCAAAGAGAAAGAAAAAGTCCTGAAAGAACCCAGAAGGAAAAATTATCTACAGAGGAACAAAGAGAAGAATTACATCTGACCTTTCAGAAATCATGCAAGCAAGAAGAGTGGGCTGAAATATTTACAGTGTTGAGATAAAAAGCCACCAACCTAGAATTCTGTACCCTGTGAAATTATCCTTCAAAAGTAAAGTGGAAATAAAGACTTTCTCAGACAAACAAAAATTGAGGGAATGTGTTGCCAATAGATCTGCTTTGCAGGAAATGATAAAAGTTCTTTAGAGAGAAGGAAAATGATATAGGTCAGAAACTCAGATGTACAGTAAAAAAAGGAAAGGCACTGGAGAAGGAATAAGTGAAGGTAAAATAAAACCTTTTATTTTTCTTATTCTTAATTGATCTCAGAGATAACAGTTTGTCCAAAATAATAATAGCAGCAATATATCCAACTATGTGTGCTTATGTGTACATGTATGTATATGCTTATGTAGAAGTGAAATGAATGACAGAAGTGATATGAGGGAAAGGAGGCAAGAATTAGGATCCTTTTGTTATTATAAGGTACTCAAACTGCCCATGAAGTGGACTTGAATTAGTTGTAAATGTATATTGCAAACTCAACCACTGAAAAAACTAGAAAAAGAAGTACAACTGATATGCTAAGAAAGGAGAGAAAATGGAATCATATAAAACGCTCAGTTAAAACCACAGAAGGCAGAAAAAGAATGGAAGACAGGTGCCAGCATGGTTGGGTTCTGGTGAAAGCCCTCTTCTGGGTTGCAGACTGCTGACTTCTCACTGTGATTTCACATGATGGATCATTTGAGCTGGCTCTCTGGGATCTCTTTTGTAGGGGCACTAATCTCAATGAGGAGGGCTATTCCCTCATGATCTAATCTCCTCCCAAAGGCCCCATCTCCTAATACCATGGCCTTGGAGGTTAGGTTTCAACATACTGATTTTGGAGGGACACAAACATTCAGATCATAGCAATCGATAAACCTCTAGCCAGGTTAACTAAGAAAAGAAGTGAGAGGTCGCAAACTGCTGATATCAGAAATGAAAGAAGGGACATCACTACAGATCCATGGGCATTCAAATGATAATCAAGGAATACTATGAAAAATTTTATGCCCCCAAATTTGATAACCTATATGAAATGGACCAATTCCTTGAAAGACATAATCTGCCAAAACTCACACAAGAAGAAATAGATAATCTACATAGGCCTATATCTATTAAAGAAATAGAATCAATAATTAATAAACAACCTTCTAAAACAGAAAACATCAAGCCAATATAGGTTCACTACTAAACATTTAAGTTAGTAGTACTAACTTAATTGGTACTAAACATACCAATTCTCTACAATCTCTTTCAGAAGAGAAAAGCAGAGGGAATAATTTCTAACTCATTCTGTGAGGCCAGTATTACCCTAAAACCAAAATCAGACAAAAATTACAATGAAAGAAAAGAAAACTACAGACCAATATGTCTCATGAGCATAGATGCAAAAATCCTCAATAAAATGTTAGTAAATTGAATCCAAGAACATATAAAAAGAATCATGTACCATGACCAAGTAGGATTTATCCTGCCAATCTGGTTCAACATTCAGAAATCAATAAATGTAAATCATCACATCAATAGGCTAGAGAAGAAAAATCACACGATCATATCAATAGATGCAGAAGGAGCATTTGGCAAAATCCAACACCCATTCATGATAAAAACTGTCAGAAAACCAGAAATCTTACAGCTAACATCATATTTAGTGGTGAAAAACTTTCCCACTAACATCAGGAATAAGGCAAGGATGTCCCCTCTCACCACTACTTTTTAACATTGTACTGGAAGTCCTAGCTAATGCAATAAGACAAGAAAAAGAAATAACAGGTACACAGATTGTGAAGGAAGACATAATACTGTCTTTGTTCACAGATGACATGATTGTCTATGTAGAAAATCTGAAAGAATCAACCCAAAACTCTTAGAACTCATAAGTGATTATAGCAAGTTTGTAGGATGCAAAGTTAATACACAAAAGCCAATTGCTTTCCTATATTCCAGCAATGAACAAGTAGAATTTGAAATTTAAAACAGAATTCCATTTACAATAGCACTCAAAAATGTTGAAATACTTAGTCGTAAATCCAACAAAATGTGTGCAAGACTTATATGAGGAAAACTACAAAACTCTGATGAAAAATATCAAAGAAGAACTAAATAAATGGAGAGAAATTCCATGTTTGTGCATAGAAAGATTCAATATTGTCAAGATGTCACTCCTTCCCAACTTGATCTATAAATTCAATGCAATCCCAGTCAAAATCCCAGCAAGTTGTTTTGTGGATACCGGCAAACTGATTCTAAAGTTAATAGGGTGAGGCAAAAGACTCAGAATAGCCAACACAATAATGAAGCAGAAGAACAAAGTTGGAGGACTGATAGTACTCTAGTTCAAGACTTACTATAAAGTTACAGTAATCAAGACAGTGTTCTGGGGCTTCCCTGGTGGCGCAGTGGTTAAGAATCCGCCTGCTGATGCAGGGGACACAGGTTCAAGCCCTGGTCCCGGAAGATCCCACATGCCGTGGAGCAACTAAGCCCATGCACCACAACTTCTGAGCCTGTACTCTAGAGCCTGTGGGCCACAACTACTGAGCCCACGTGCCACAACTCCTGAAGCCCACATGCCTAGAGCCTGTGCTCCGCAACAAGAGAAGCCACTGCGGTGAGAAGCCCACGCACCACAATGAAAAGTAGCCCCCGCTCGCCGCAACTAGAGGAAGCCTGCGTGCAGCAATAAAGGCCCAATGCAGCCAAAAATAAAAATTAATTAATTAATTAATTTTAAAAAAAGACAGTGTTCTGTTGGCAAAATAATAGACTAATAGATCAGTGCAGTAGAATAGAGAGCCCAGAAATAGACCCCCATAAATAATAGTCCACAAATCTTTGACAAAGAGCAAAGGCAATACAATGAAATAAAAATAGTCTTTTTAGTAGATGGTGCTAGAACAACTGGGCATCCATATGTTAAAAAAAAAAAAAAAGAATCTAGACACAGACCTTACATCCTTCACAAAAATTAACTCAAAATGAATCACAGCCTTAAATTTAAACACAAAACTATAAAACTCCCAGAAGATAACAGGAGAAAATCTAGATGACCTTGGGTATGCAGGTGACTTTTTAGATACAACACCAAGTATGATCCATGAAAGAAATAATTGATAAGCTGAACTTATTAAAATTAAAGTTTTCTGCTCTGTGTAAGACACTGTCAAGAGAATGAAAAGATAGGTCACAGACTGGGAGAAAATATTTGCAAATATATGTCTAATAAAGGACTGTTATCCAAGATGTACAAAGAACTCTTAAAACTCAACAGTAAGGGCTTCCCTGGTGGCGCAGTGGTTGAGAGTCCGCCTGCCGATGCAGGGGATGCGGGTTCGTGCCCCGGTCTGGGAGGATCCCACATGCCGCGGAGCGGCTGGGCCCGTGGGCATGGCAGTGGGAGGCCTACGTACCGCAAAAAAACCCCACAAAACTCAACAGTAAGAACATGAGCGACGCGATTTAAAAATGGACAAAGACCTTAACAGATATTTCACCAAAGAAGATATGCAGATGGAAAATAATCATATGGAAAGATGCTCCACATTGTATGTCATTAGGGAATTGCAAACTTAAAAAACAAGATGCCATTATATACTTATTAGATCAGCCAAAATCTAAAACACTGACAACACCAAATATTGGCAAGGATGTGCAAAAATAGGAACTTTTGTTCATTGCTGGTGGGAATGCAAAATGGTACAACCACTTTGGAAGAGAGTTTGGCACTTCCTTATAAAGTTAAACGTACTCTTGCCATACGATTCAGCAGTCATGCTCCTTGGTATTTACCAAAGTGAAAACTTGAAGTGAAACTTATGTCCACAAAAAAACCTGCACACGATTTTTTTTTTTTTTTCGGTACGCGGGCCTCTCCCGTTACGGAGCACAGGCTCCGGACGTGCAGGCTCAGCGGTCATGGCTCACAGGCCCAGCCGCTCCGCGACATGTAGGATCTTCCCGAACTGGGACACGAACCCGTGTCCCCTGCATCGGCAGGCGGACTCTCAACCACTGCGCCACCAGGGAAGCCCCTGCACACGATTTTTATAGCGGCTGTATTCATAACTGCCAAAACTTGGAAGTAACTGAGATGTTCTTCAGTAGCTGACTCAATAAACAAACTGTGGTACATCAGACAATGGAACATTATCTAGTGCTAAAAAGAAATGAGCTATCAAGCCATGAAAAGACATGGAGAAAGTTAAATGCCTATTACTGGGTGAAAGAAACCAATCTGAAAAGGGTACATACTGTATGATTCCAACTATATGATATTTTGGAAAAGGCAAAACTATGGAGATAGTAAAAAGATCAGTAGTTGCCAGGCGTTGGGAGGGAAGACGGGCACAGAGGATTTTTAGGACACTGAAACTACTCTGTATAATACAGAGTAATGTATCATACATAATGGTAGATATATGTCATTATACATCTGTCTAAACACATAGAATGTACAACGCCAAGAGTGAACCCTAATGTAAGCTATGACCTTTGGGTGATGAGGTGTCAATGTAGGTTCATCAGTTGTAAGAAATGCACCAGTCTAGTGCGGGCTATTAAAATGGGGGAGGCTGTGCCTGTGTGGGGATAGGGGACTTTGGAGTAATCTCTGTGCCTGCCGCTCAGTTTTGCTGGAAACCTAAACCTACTCTATAGAATAAAGTCTATTTAAAAAAAGAGAGAATTACTGGCTCACATAATTGAAAAGTCCAGGGCTAGGGAGGCTTCAGGCACGACCAGATTCAGGGGCTCGGTGATACCATGGTGATGCAGTCTTCATCTCTCAGCTTTGCTTTCTTCCGTCACCCCAGTAGGGGAGCTCCAGGGGACTCAGGCCTGATGAGTCTTGGTATAAACCGGAGGCTCGTTGCCACTGGGAAATGTCCTGGTTGGGCTCTTATTGGCCACCTTGGGCCTGTGTCCAGCCCTGGAGTTGGGGAAGGGAGATTTCGCCCTATCCCAAAAGGAAAATGTGAGGCCTTATTGCCAGAGGAAGGGAGCCTAGATTTGGGGCCGGCAAAAACCACAGAGTAGTTGACCAAGGCCCCTCCAGCCCTAACGTTTGATGCTTCCGGTGCTGGCTGCCTGCCAGGTGAGGGCTGTGGACAGCCCTTCCTGCAGAAGGAGGTGGTGTTTGCACTGGGCCTCGGGGGTCACATGAGAGGGCGGCAGGTGGCTGGGAGGGTGCTGGTGTAAAGGGAACAAGGTGCATGAGGGCTTGGATGTATTTGGTAGCTGTTGAGAAGACCAGTTTGGCTGGACGATGAGTGTGTGAAGACTGGGCTGTGAAAGCATGTTGTGGCCAGACTGGGGCCTCCCAGGATGTGGGTCCTGCCCCGCCAGTCTCCCAGCCTCACCCATACTGCTTCCTCTGGGGTGTTAATATCCCAGGAGGGAACCTCCGTGGGGTAGGGAGGCTGTGCTTCCTCTGACCCCCTTTCCCCCAGGCGTTCCTGGTCTACACTGCAGGTGTCTACTCCAACATGGGCAACTACAAGTCCTTTGGTGACACCAAGTTTGTTCCCAACCTGCCCAAGGTGAGCTGAAGACGGCTGGGAAAGGTGGGCAGTTTGGGGCCGGTGGGATGGGGGGGCGGGGCATGCAGCAGATGGAGCCCCAGTGGGAGTCGGGCCCTGAGAGGAGCTTTGACCTTGTCACTACCACACTGCACGGCCTTGGGTGCTGCAGCCACCTCCTGACCCTGCTGACCCGAGGGACGAATGAGCGGAGGCTGTGAAAGGGCTCTGTGCGCTGTTAGGTGCTGCAGAGGTGGAGCCTGCCTGTCACCACTGAGGACAGCGGAGGAGCCTGGGCATGAGGAGTCCCTCTCTGGGACCACAGGGCTCAGGCCCATCTGGGGCAGGGGCAGCTCTTACACCAGGGCTCTCAGCCCCTACTGAGTGCACGAATTGCCTGGCGAGCTTGTTGAAATGCAGCTTCTGACCCAGCAGGCCTGAGCAGGTGGGGCGTGAGGGTCTGCATTTCTCGGGCAAAGTCAATGCTGCCGGTCTGTCAATTGCACTCTGAGCCAGAAGGTCTTAGACTGTGGGAGAAGAGCTTGGGGGTCGATGGGGGCGGGGAGGGGGGCGCTCCAGGAGGCAGGTTCGGGTGGTGTGGCCAGGCCACGGGCCTCCCTTCCCCTGCAGGAGAAGCTGGAACGTGTGATCCTGGGTAGTAAGGCCGCGGAGCAGCACCCGGAGGAAGTCGGGGGCCTCTGGCAGACCTGCGGGGAGCTCATGTTCTCTCTGGAATCGAGGCTTCGACACCTCGGGCTGGGGAAGGAGGTGAGGCCCCCCCAGCCACACTGGGGAGTGGAGGGCATCCTTGGGGGCCGCCTGGTATGGAGGGAGGGGCACCCGATGGGGAGGCAGCGGGCTGTCCGTCACGCCTGAGGCCAAGCTGCCCTCCACTGCAGGCCTCAGCGCCATCATTTGTAAGCAGGTTGGATGGAACGCTTTCTGAATGCCCTCCCAGTTCTGACATCCTGGGATGCCATGTGCAGGAGGAAGGAAGGAGAGAAGCTGAGAGCTGGAGGGAGCTGAGGAGGGGGCATGGGAAAGGAGGGGGCCAAAGCTTCCCACCTCTGGAGGCTGCTTGGGAGCTGCGTGGGGTGAGGGATGCAGCAAACCGTAGGGGCGGGCCCGCGAGAGGCTGGCACAGAGCTGCAGGAAGGCTGGACTTGGGCCTCTGTTTGTTGTTTGTGTTGTAATTTTTTCCCCCTGGAAAGAGTTGGAGAGGGACAGTGGAGGCTGCTGAGAGGAAGTGGAGGAAGCCAGAGGCTGGAGAGGGTGGCTGGGAAGGAATTCACCAGCTTCCCCAACCCAACTCAGCAACTCCTATTTCCCATCTGCCCCTTCCCCGACAGGGAATCACCACCTATTTCTCTGGGAACTGTACCATGGAAGATGCCAAACTAGCCCAAGACTTTCTGGACTCACAGGTTTGGGGGTTGGGGAACTTGGGGTGGTGGTTTGTTGGGGTCCCCTTGGCACTGGCGCCCACTCCTGTGTCTCAGCTTGGGCCCAGAGGCATGGGCATCTTGGGTCCTTGAGGTGGAGAAGACTTGGGAATCCTCGTCTAAGGGTCAGCCTGGCGTGAATGAAGATGTCCCCGTGTGTGCCCTGATGGAGCTGCCCCTGCCCCACCCTGGGCTGAAGGGCCTTGTGACAGCCTCAGGGCAGGAGGACACAGAACATCAGAGCTGCTTGGATTGGCATGGGGCATCCATGTGTCACTTTCACCTCCCAGCTCAGCCGCACAGCGACATTTCCTTATCTGTGGAATGGGACCTGCCTCCTGTACCCCGGGTTAGCTGAGGTCACGAAGTGTCTTGCACAGCGCTTAGTAAAAGTTAGCGCTCAGTGTACTGAGCAGAGCGAGAGTCTGCCCTGGCCTGCCCCTGCTCTCTCCCCTCGCAGACAACTTAGGCACGTCCACCGGAGGCCCCGGACTGCTTTACCTGTGTATCTTCTCTCTCTGGTGTGACCCACTTTCCCTCCCCCCACCCCACAGCCCGCTCTGGACTTACTCTCCCCCAAACCCCTGCCCTGGTCTTTTCCAGAACCTCAGTGCCTACAACACACGGCTCTTCAAGGAGGTCGGCCAGGATGGGAAGCCCTGCTACGAGGTGCGGTTGGCTTCTGTGCTGAGCACAGGTGAGCTCACGCCCCTTCTCCTCCTTCCTGTGTTCCTGGACCAGCGTGGAGGGGGCCAGAACCCAGGACAGGGTTAGCCGACTATGGTAGCTGCAGGCAGTAACCACAGTTGTAATAGTTACGGCACACGTTGATCGAAGTCTTGCTAGGTGCAAGCCCTAGTGCTCAGCAAATGGTGTTCCTGTGAGGTGAGCGTCCCCAGCCCCGGTGCTGCTGGTGGTGATGTAAACCTAAGAGGAGGCTCAAGGGCAGGGGAAGGGCCTTTGTTCCACCTGGCGAACATCACTGCTGCAAGCCTCTGACAGGGGCCACGTGTTGGCCATGGTCCTCATCCTCCAGGCAGTGGCGCAGAAGATACCAATCCATGTAAACAATGGAAGTAGAGGCTGGACCATATGTCCCATGACAGCCTAGAGGAGAAATCCAAACTGCACATCAGTGAAGCCTTAATGGAAAAGGTGACCACCTGGGCTTCCCTGGTGGCGCAGAGAGTCCGCCTGTCGATGCGGGGGACGCAGGTTCGTGCCCCGGTCCGGGAGGGTCCCACATGCCGCGGAGCGGCTGGGCCCGTGAGCCATGGCTGCTGAGCCTGCGCGTCTGGAGCCTGTGCTCCACAACAGGAGAGGTCACGGCAGTGAGAGGCCCGCGTACAGCAAAAAAAAAAAAAGGTGACCACGTGTGTCTTGGAGGTTGGGGACAATACAGAAAGGTGGGGGTGGTGAACTTACTAAAATCCACTTCCTAAATATCTCCCCAAGTACCTTCAAGGTAAAGCCCAGATGCACTTCTAAGGGCTCCATCATTTGGAATTTCTTGGTTATAAGTGAGGAAACCTATTTCAAATTTGCCTACAGCAAAGGGGACGTCGTAGGTTTGAGTAATTAAGAAGCCCAGAATACAGTAGCTTCAGGCACAGCTGGATCCAGCTGCTCAGACAGCATTCTCAGAAATTTCTCTCTCTGTCTCTTGGCTCAGCTCTCTTTGACTTCACCCACAGCAGGCTGCTCCCATCTACATGTCCAGTGGTAGATGTTAGCTGTTGGCTGGGGCCTCGGCTGGGGCTGTCAACCAAAACACACAGCCTGATAGCCACCAGCTGGGCCATTGCAGCAAAGAGAGCCCTCTTCTCCCCGAAGTAGTGTCTTAACGTCTGGGAGTGGCTCAGGTTTCTCTGTTTTGGGTCCTTGTGGCTAAGGGCCCCTGGTCCCAAGCCTACCTCACAGCCAGGTGGACTCACAGCCAGGTGGACCCACCACCTGGACTCGGGGTGGTTGTGAGGGGGATACAGATGCAGCATTAAGAGAAGCATCCAGGCCCCTGTGAGGACCTTTGTAACCCCGTCCTCCCTTCCACACCCACCTCCCACCTCCCAGCCCCAGCCTCCCACTTAGACTTCGGCTGCAGCCACGCTCAGCAACTTCCAATTCCCTGAAAACCCCATGTTCTCACCTACCCCCTCCAGGCCTTTGCACGGTCTGTTCCCCATTGCCGCTTGGAATGTCCTCTCTCCCCTCTAGGTGTTCCACTGATGAACCCTAATCGTCCTGTAGGCCAGGCTTGGACCTCACCTTCCCTGGACCTGTCCCTGTCTTCCCACAGCCTCTTTGCTCATCAGCACGCCCAGTAATTTCCCAGTTATTTTTCTGTTGACTTCAAGCTCCTTGAGAGGAGGAACTCTGTGTTTCATTCACCGGTGCCTTCCCAGCAGCTCTCCCTTCGTTGATCCTCAGATACCAAGCAAAGGAGGACAGGTCGGGAACAGCACTCCTGGTGGAGGGAACAGCATGAGCCAAAGCAAGGTGGTGGGAAGGTTTAGGGAGCAGCACGTACGTAGTGCGATTTGACTAGGGAAGAGGATAAGGGTTCCAGGGAATAGGAGGGGATCGCACGGGAATATGAGCTGGGCCTCTAGGATGCAGCAGAGGACAGTGGTTAAGAGTGTGGCTCTGGAGCCAGGCTGCCTGACGTAACGAGCGCCCCCATTTGTTTAGTGATATAAAGCCACCTCTTCATGCTCCTGGGCTCTGTGGGTCAGGAATTTGGATGGGGCACGCTAGGAACAGCATGTCTCTGGCTGACCATGTCTGAGGCCTCAGCTGGGAAGACTTAGAGGTGGCGGGTGACTCAACAGCTAGGGGCTGCATCCTCCGCCTGCTCACCGACTCACACGTCCAGTGGTAGATGTTAGCTGTTGGCTGGGACCTCAGCTGGGGCTGTCAGCCAGAACACCTCACACAGCATCTTCACATTGCTCGTGGTGGCTGGGCTCCAGAGCGAACACCCCAAGAGAGCCAGGCAGACGCCGTGTCGCCGTTTGTGACCTAGCCTCGGCAGTCACATGGCGTCACTTCTGCTGTAGCCACAAGCCTGCCTGCCCCGCTTCAAGAGGAGAAGTCCTGATAGGAGAAGTCACTTTGGGAGATGGGAGAGACTGTGGCCATCTTTTCTTTTTTCTTAAATATAAGCTAGAAGTATGTTGTATGGATCAGAGACAACAGGCAAAATACAACAGCGTTAATATCCCATTGCGGGCTTCCTGGTGGCGCAGGGGTTAAGAATCCGCCTGCCAATGCAGGGGACACGGGTTCGAGCCCTGGTCCGGGAAGATCCCACATGCCGTGGAGCAACTAAGCCCGTGCGCCACAGCTACTGAGCCTGCGCTCTAGAGCCTGTGAGCCACAGCTACTGAAGCCTGCACTCTAGAGCCTGCGAGCCACAGCTACTGAAGCCCACATGCCTAGAGCCCATGCTCTGCACCAAGAGAAGCCACCGCGATGAGAAGCCCACGCACCACAATGAAGGCTGGCCACAACTAGAGAAAGCCCACGTGCAGCAACAAAGACCCAACACAGCGAAAAAAATAAAATCCTTTAAAAAAAAATATCCCATTGCTTCTGTAACAAATCACCACAAATTTAATGGCATAAAACAACACAAATTTATTCTGTTACAGTTCTGGAGGTCCAAAGTCTAAAAGAAGACTCCAGTTCCTTCTGGAGCCTTCAGGGGAAATCTGTTGCCTTGCCTCTTTCTGTCTCTAGAAGCTGCCTGCATTCCTCGGCCTGTGGCCCTTTCCTCACATCTCTCCCTCTTCTTTCTTCTCTCATCACATCTCCTACCTCCCTTCACCCTCCTGTCTCCTCCTTATAAGGACTCTTGTGATTACATCTAGGGTACGGCTAGCTTTTTAAATACAATCTGCCACACTGGGTTTGAATCCGACTCTGCCGCTTGCTGCTGTGTGACCTTCAAAAACTGACTTAACCTTTCGGTGCCTTAGCTTCCCCATCTGTAGAACAGAGATAATAATTTCCCTCTCCCCACAGAGCTGATACAAGGCTCAAATGAGTTAACATGTAAATCACTTAGAACATTTCACGTAACATAACATTGGGTTGGCCAAACAGTTCGTTTGGGTTTTTCTGTAAGGTGGTACGGAAAAAGCCGAACGACCTTTTGGCCAAGCCAATATCTATATTTTTGAAGATGAAAGTTTATACTAATTTCTGTGGGCAGTGGGGAGCCATTGAAGATCTTCGAGTAAAGGAGTGTCACAGCGAGAAGCCTGCTGGGGTGTCTTATATTAGCCTTTTCCCTGAGCCATCCTTCTTCCCTCAGAGCCTATTCTGGACTCCGAAATGAATTCCAAGCTGAAGAGCTATGAATTCCAGGGAAGCAATTTCCGGGTGACCCGGGGAGACTATGCACCCATCCTCCAGAAGGTAGTGGAGCACCTGGAGAAAGCCAAGGTAGGGCTGGCTAGGGGCTGAGGTGCTTCTCCAGGCCCCTCTGGGCAGCAAAGGTGGGTATGGGGATGGGTGGGTAGCCTGAGGCTGACCAACCCTTGCTCACCCCCAGGCCTATGCAGCCACCAGCCACCAGGAGCAGATGCTGGCCCAGTACATAGAAAGCTTCACCCACGGCTCTATCGAGGCCCACAAGAAGGGCTCTCGCTTCTGGATCCAGGACAAAGCCCCCATCGTGGAGAGGTGAGGCGCCAGCCTTCACCCCGCCCTGCCCCTCCCCCCACCCCGCCTCCATCTCAGCCCTTCTCTCCCCCAGTTACATCGGGTTCATCGAGAGCTACCGAGACCCCTTTGGCTCCCGCGGAGAGTTTGAAGGTAACTTCTGGGAGGTGGGCGGTCGGATGGAAACCCTTACCCTTGTCCCCTGAGGACTCTCCCCTCCCCGCTCCTCCCTCAGCAGTAACAATAACAATGACAACAGCCATTGATGATTTGCCATGTACTGGACACGTAGCTCATTTTGACACCATCATCCTATGAGAATGTCTCTCCTCACTTCACAGATGTGGGAACTGAGGCACAGGTCGTGGGTGGCCTAGTCTAGGCACCTTGTCTCTGAGCCACTTGGCTGTGCTGCCTCTCGTGTCTGGTCCAGGCATAGGCTCCAGCTTTGTCACTTAATGGCTGTGTGACCTTGAGCCACTTAACCCCACCTCTGCGCATCCGTCGCTCCTTTTTGGGTGTCGTGGGAAGTGAGGTATTATATGCAGACGGCTCAGCACAATGCCAGGCATGGAAACAGTGCTGAGTTGATGGGAGCAGAATTAACACTGGGACTATGAACTTGACTCGGCTGCTGTCATCTCAGGACAGGCGGCAGGCTGCCTCGGCCCTTGTGTCCAAGCCCCCATGGGACCCACTAGTGCAGGGCAGGGCATCCAGCCTGAGGATTTAGACTTGTTTCTGCCGAGCTTCATCCTCCCCAGCCCCTGGATGGAGAGTCTGGAGCATCCAGCTGCCAAAAGCCCGCGAGATTAGCCTTGGAGGAGAGAGGAAAGCCCCGACAGCCCATGAGGGCTTGGATCTGAGCCCAGAGATCCAGGCCCAGGGACACAGCAGAAGGGACAGGCAGTTCAGGGGCCGGAGGGTGAGACAGGTTTCTTGCCTGGGTCCTGATTTGCCAGGCCTGCTCTGAGGGCCAAGACCCCAGGGCCTCCTCAGCAGCCTCAGTCTCAGAGGTCCCCCCCTTTTTACACAACTCATTGTGATTATTAGAAAAGTAGTCTCTGTTCGTGGTCAAAAATTATGAAAATACAGACCAAAAAAAATCAAATGTGATTGTACCCACCCCAAGGTTAAAATTTGGAATGTACTTTTTGTCTTCTGTTTTTATATAGTGCTGTGCTTAAAAATGTGTGTGTGTGATTTAAAATCTGCATTTGTTGCAAGTAATTGGAACAGTACAGACGTATGTAGGATAAAATGTGAAATCCCTCCTTTACTATCCTCTCCTATGTCACACCCCTCCTGAGATCACCACAGCTCGCAGTTGAGTACAGGTCCTTCCAGGCCTTTGTCGAAGCATTCACACACACACACACACACACACACACACACACACACACTCCTTTTTTTTTTTTTTTTTAAATAAGTTTATTTATTTTTGGCTGCGTTGGGTCTTCATTGTGGCACACAGGCTTTTCATTGCGGGGGCTTCTCTTGTCGCGGAGCACGGGTTCTAGGCACGCGGGCTTCAGTAATTGTGGTTTGTGGGCTCAGTAGTTGTGGCTCGCGGGCTCTAGAGCCTAGGCTCAGTAGTTGTGGCACACGGGCTTAGTTGCTCCATGGCATGTGGGATATTCCCAGACCAGGGCTCGAACCCGTGTCCCCTGCATTGGCAAGCGGATTCTTAACCACTGCGCCACCAGGGAAGTCCCCACGCATTCCTTTTAACTCATCCAGGTAAATGAGCTTATATTCTATGTATTGTTCTGTCACTTGGTTTTTTCACTTAATCATGTATCGTGGATACTTTTCCTATCAGTATATATAGACCTACCACATTCTTTTTAATAGGTGTATAGTATTCACAATATATCATAAATAATTCCCCACAACATTTGATATTGTACTACATATCTAACAGCTGCATGGCATGCCATCACATAGCTGCCCCCTGATTTATTTAATAATCCCCAATCATTGGACATTTATTTAGGTCGCTTTTCCTTCTTTGCTATTTTAATCATCCTCTCTTCCTGCCCTGGTGTGATGATTTCATCAGACAGAGCGAATCCAGATGGAGAGGCATTGCCAAGCCCATCCCTCGGCCAGGTTAAGGTTGACCCCTTCCTCGGTCTAGGTCAGGCCTTTCCAGCGCACAGTCCCTGCAGGGTTAGCAGGAATTACATCAAGAAGGATTTGTTGCTGAGCAGCAGGGAGTCTCTGCTTGCAGGACTCTTTAACGTGCAAATGTGCATTGCGAACCTTTAAGAAGATGGAGGTAGAGTGTATAGTTTTGCCCAAACTTATCTGACCAGGGAGCTCTTTCTTTATGAAGGCTCTCATAGAAAATGTGTTCTATGGAGTACAATTTTGGAAATTGTACTGCTTTGAGCCAGGAACTCTAACTGCACTGTATCTGAAAGGATCAGTCCCAGCCGCCTCTGCGGCAGCCTCACTCACCACCACATAAGCCAGGTGCACTAGCCGTGCAGGACAGTTCACAGTTCCCCCAAAAAGGAGAGCATCTTTTTTTGTTCACGTCGTCCCTTCCACTGGGCATCTGATCCTTTCCCCAGCATCCCCTATGTACTCCCCACAATCTCCTTTAAGATCCACCTCAGGTGTTACTCAGCGAAGCCTTCTCTCTGTACCCCACCCATCCCAAAACAGTGACCTCGTGGAGGCAGGGCCCAGGTCTGGGTCATTGTTCTCCCGAGTGGCCAGCACAGGGTCACTGTGCACAGCAGGCATTCAATACCTGCATGACAGCTGGAGGGTTAGAGGGGTTGAGGGGGGTGTGGGATCCCTTCCAAACCCTGCCAACCCACAGCCCACTCTGTCCCCCCACAGGCTTCGTGGCCATGGTGAACAAGGCCATGAGTGCCAAGTTTGAGTGGCTAGTGGCAAGTGCGGAGCAGCTGTTGAAGGAGCTTCCCTGGCCCCCAGCCTTCGAGAAGGACAAGTTCCTCACCCCCGACTTCACCTCCCTGGATGTTCTCACCTTCGCCGGCTCCGGCATCCCTGCCGGCATCAACATCCCCAACTGTGAGCTTCCGTGGGCCCTGCCCCTCGAACACGACAGGATGGCCCAACCCCCCAGGAGACCCCACTGAGAGTCGCACCCTCCGCCTCCACACACTCACCCTGACCACAAATCACCCTGCTCCACTCACCATCCCGGCCTGTCCCTCTTGTCCAGACTCCTCGTCTGTGACCCTTGACCTTTGCCCCTTCTCCCTGGTCCCCGCCCTCACCTTCTCCAGATGACGACCTAAGGCAGACGGAAGGCTTTAAGAACGTGTCGCTGGGGAACGTGCTGGCCGTGGCCTATGCCACACAGCGGGAGAAGCTCACCTTCCTGGAGGAGGAGGACAAGGTGGGCACCGGCAGCCCGAGGGCCGGCGCTGGGCCTGGCCTGACCTCAGCTGATGCAGGAAGGCGGACAGGCCAGCGCAGAGGAGAGGAAAGAACATGGCTTCGGGCCTGGCTCTGCTGCTTCCCTGCTTGTGACCTTTGACCTTGTGTCTTTGGAGCCTGTTTCCCCAGCTGGCAAACAGTGGAGGCAGCCCCTTCTTCGCAGGTTGCTGCAAGGATGGGATGGGCTTTGCGGTGCCCAGTATAGTAGGCCTTTAGCAAATGTGTGCATCACGATGGGCCCTCGGCCTGGCACGGGGGGTGTGGGCAGGCCGTGTGGCCGTGGTGGGACAGTGGGCAGCATGGGTCTCTGCTTGTCTCGGCAGGACCTGTACATCCGCTGGAAGGGACCCTCCTTTGACGTGCAGGTGGGGCTGCACGAGCTGTTGGGCCACGGCAGCGGCAAGCTCTTCGTGCAGGTAAGAACACGGGGCTGGCCGTGGTGCCCGCAGGAGCCTCTGCAGAGCCAGGCCTACGGCTCCCCTCCTCCACAGTCAGCCCCTCAGGGGTGAAGCTGCTCCAGTCTTGGCCCTCAGTGTCTCAGCCTCCCCCAAGATGTCCCAGGATTGAGTGGGACCTGCAGGACTATCCAGCTAAGGTCCCCCCACAGGAAGAATTGCTTGGTTCAGGCCAGGGAAGCCTGCCCTGAGGGTGTGACCCAGGCAGCCCCAGGGCTAGAGAGGCCAGGAGGGGGCAGTGTCTGGAGCCCCTAGTCCTGAGGCTGCAGCACTGTCTGTCTTTGCACTGCTGTTCCCTGGAGCCTGTACCTTTCCAGGTATTGAAGGGGGCCCCTTCTCCCCAGAGCTGCCCCTTCCTCCTGGCCAGCCAGAGTGACTGGAGCGCCCTCAGCACCCACTCAGGAAATATGAGAAGACAGACAGCCTTTCTGGCAGGCCGGGAAGAGCCCATTGTGGACCCCCAGCCCAGAGCTGCATTGATGACATGACTGGGGGTGGGTGGGTCAGGGCTGTCAGAGAGTGCAGCATTGGGCCTGCTCCTTGTGGGGTGCAGCTGCCTCCCCAAATGGGGACGGGCTGGGCCTGGAAGTCAGGAGGATCCAGAGAGCAGCTGATGGGGGCACAGCTTGGCATTGGGCTTTGTCCAGGCTTTGAAGTCCCAGGGAAGTGGGGACACATGTGGCCCCTCGATGGCCTTGCACAACAAGACAGTTCCCCTCCCTGAGCCTCAGTTGGCCCATCTGTAAAATGGGGTTCCTGACTCCTATGGTATGGCTTTTGTGAGGAATAAAGGCAAAGCCCTGGGATTTGCTTGGCATTCGATAGGCCCTCTGAAAATGGGTGTTATTGTTAAGAGACAGTGTGCACAGACATTATGTGCTCTGATTCCGCTTTGGGGTTCTTAGTCTCTGAGCCTTAGTTTCCTCCTCTGTGAAGTGGGGTAGTAATAGAATGTTCCTTGGAGGGTGGTTGCAAGGGTGAAATGGATGGTGCACGAAAGACACTTGGCACATGGAGAGGACGGTGAGGGTGATGCTTCTGAGGCAGAGAGTCACATACTGTGACCTCCTCTGCCAGCAGAGGGGCCAGGAAGGTGAGAAGCGGCCAGGCCTTCTGGTCCACCCACTGGGACATCTCCAGCTGGGCTCTGGAGATACTGAGTTCAAGTCTTCATGTGACTTTGGGCATGTGCCTCCCCATCTGGCCTGCAGTGTCACTCTCTGTGCAGGGGTAGGTGCCTGACGTTCTTCTACCTCCGGGGCTTCTGAGATGTGTCACAGGACAGGTTTGGAGGCGGCAGTGTGTCAGTGGACCTGCTGCTCCTGCCATCTACTCACTGCTCCCGGTCACCTTTCTGAGCCACTTGGATCCAGGGCTGAAGGCCTGGCCCGGGGCAGGGGCACCTTGCCCTCACCTGCCCCACATTCATGACCATTCTCCTGCAGGATGAGAAAGGAGCATTCAACTTTGACCAGGAGACAGTGATCAACCCAGAGACAGGAGAGCAGGTGAGGGTGGCCTCGGCGGAGCCTTGGGGTGCTGGGAGTGGGGCGGCCCAGGGGGATGGCAGGCACCCCTAAGCTTGCTTCCTGGGCCCCCCCTCCCAGATTCAGAGCTGGTACCGGAGCGGGGAGACCTGGGACAGCAAGTTCAGCACTATTGCCTCCAGCTATGAAGAGTGCCGGGCAGAGAGCGTGGGCCTCTACCTCTGCCTCAACCCCCAAGTGCTGGAGTACGAGCAGCAGGCCTGGGTGGGGGGGCCTCCTCTGTGGATGGAGGGGGTGCTGGCAGGGAGGGCAGGGCCCGGGTAGCCTCTGGCCCCCCTCCCCCCTGCCACTTCCCCTCCCTCCCCCAGGATCTTTGGCTTTGAGGGGGCTGATGCAGAAGATGTGGTCTACGTGAACTGGCTCAACATGGTTCGGGCCGGGCTGCTTGCTCTGGAGTTCTACACCCCTGAGGCCTCCAGCTGGAGACAGGTGGGGGCCAGGGGACCCCTCAGGAGGGAAGAGCCTTAGGTGGGGACCAAGATCAGGATTCTGGGTGTAGGGAAGGGACAACCGTACCTACGAGGCGCATAAACTGGGTTGATCCCAGAGTCCACTGCATATGAGGGCAAGTCAGGTCACTGTTGTGAGTCTCGGTGTCCCTGTCTGTGAAATGGGAGTAATAATCTCCTTGCCCACCTTTGAGGGTGAATCAGATGAGATGATTTTACTATGATCACTAACAGATGACTTGCATAGGACTTCCTCTGTGCCACTTAGTTCTAAGCGCTTTATGTGATTAACCCATTTGTCCCCAGTGTCAACCCAGGAGGTAGGTACCGTTATTACCCTCATGTTAGAGATGAGGAAATTGAAGCACAAAGCGATTAAGTAACTTGCTGGTAACAGAACCAGAATTGAAATCCAAGCAGCCTGCCTCCAGAGCCATTAGGCTACACTGTTCGGTGATGAGATGTACTTTAGAGATAGGGCAAGCAATTGAAATCTTTTAAGAAGTCAAGTAAGTCTGTTTTGAGGAGGCAATATTGTGTCATCAAAAGAACACACGGAGACTTCCCTGGTGGCGCAGTGGTTAAGAATCCACCTGCCAATGCAGGAGACACAGGTTCGAGCCCTGGTCCAGAAAGATCCCACATGCCGTGGAGCAACTAAGCCCCTGTGCCACAACTACCAAGCCTGCTCTCTAGAGCCCGTGAGCCACAACTACTGAGCCCACGTGCCACAACTCCTGAAGCCCACATGCCTAGAGCCCGTGCTCCGCAACAAGAGAAGCCACTGCAATAAGAAGCCCGCGCACCGCAATGAAGCGTAGCCCCCGCGCACTGCAACTAAAGAAAGCCTGTGCGCAGCAACGAAGACCCAAAACAGCCAAAAATAAATTTAAAATAAATTTATTTTTTAAAAAACCACTTTTTTGTGGTACGCGGGCCTCTCACTGTTGTGGCCTCACCCGTAGTGGAGCACAGGCTCCGGACGCGCAGGCTCAGCGGCCATGGCTCACGGGCCCAGCCGCTCTGCGGCATGTGGGATCTTCCCGGACCAGGGCACGAACCCCTGTCCCCTGCATCAGCAGGCGGACTCTCAACCACTGCGCCACCAGGGAAGCCCTGAACACACGTTTTAGAGTCAGGAAACTTGGGTTAGTCCTTGCTCTCTCCTATGAGCTGTGTGACCCTGAGCAAGTCACTTCACCTCTCTGGGCCTCTGTTTTGTCATCTGTAAACTGCGGATAACGGTGCCCTCTTGATCCCACTGTTGAATGCAAACAGGATTGTGGAGAAGAAAGTGCTCGGGGTCCTGGTGGCGAGGGGCCCTCTGGGGGTAACTGTTGTCATGAGGGTGTGCTGTGGAGCAGCAGAGGGGATGGTGGGTGACAAGGGGGAACATGAGGCTCTGGGTCCTGCCTGGAAATGGCCTTCCTGTCTACCAGGGCAGCCTGCCCTCCCTTGTGAGAGGAGAAGGGAAGCATTTGAGGGGAGAGGAATAGGCACAAAAGGACCCACAGGCTGGGGAAGAATAAAACGACAATAATAATTGACAATTAGTGCGCACATATGATATATCAGGCCTTGGAATGAGCTCTTGATACTTCTTGCCTCGGGGTTGCAAATGATTCCTTTCTCTTTGGCCCCAGCAGGCCCACATGCAGGCCCGGTTTGTGATCCTGAGGGTCTTGCTGGAGGCCGGCGAGGGACTTGTTACCGTCACTCCCACCACAGGCTCCGATGGGCGCCCAGATGCCCAGGTCCACCTTGACCGCAACAAGATCCGGACCGTGGGCAAGCCCGCCCTGGAGAGGTTCCTGCGGAGACTCCAGGTAAACAGGGGCCTCTCACCTTGGAGGCCCCCTCCAGCCTCACCCTGTCTCCCCACCCTGTAACAGGGAAGGCTTCTTGGAGGTGGTGGTATTTAAGCTGGAATTTGAGTGCCAAGGAGGAACCAGCTATTAGAAGATCTGATAGCAGAAGAAACAAAGCGTAAAGCCTGATCTTGGGACTGGAAGGAGCTTGGTGGGTTGAGAGACAGAAGGAGGAAGCCTGGAGCTTGGTGAGTGAAGGAGGGAGGGACAGTGGTCACTGCAGCCCTGACGTCCCTCCCATGTAGGGACGTTTAGAGTCAGTAGACCTTTTGGGGTTCTGGTGCCAGTACTAACGAGCTGTGTAGTTGGGGTAACATACTTTGCCTTGCTGGCCTCCACTTTTCTCACCTGTCAAATGAGGTACATCACCTGCCTCACCTGGTAGGAATTAAATGAAACAACATATATGTGGAACTGAGCAATAGAATGTCGTGTTATCCAAGCCAGTGTGACACAAAGTGTGGTCCAGAGACCAGCAGCAGCATCGCCCAGGACATGCAGATTCAAAGGCACCACCCCAGAGCTCCTGATTCAGAAATTCTGAGTGCGGGGCCCCGGAACCTGCACGTTTACTAGCCTGCCAGGTGATTCTGACACGCAACAAAGCTGGAGGACCACCGATGGTGACCCACTCCTTACCGGGAAGTGCCTTCCATCAGAACAGGGTCCTGCTGGCTTTTTCAACCTGAAGAAGGCCCAGCCTTCAATTCAGCAAATATCTCTTTATGATTGTACTCCCACCTATTTCCAGAAGGGATGTTAGGCATTTTTCCTAAAAAGATATGTTTGGCCATTAAAGTAAAATAAAATTAGAAATTAAAAATCATTAGATGCAAAACACAGTGCAGTGTCTTGGGTCAGATTCGGGAATAGATAAAAGACATTAGTGGGAAAACTAGTGAAATCTAAATAACGTCTAGAGTTTAGTTAATACAAATGTACCAATTTTGTAAGATGTTAACAACAGGCAAAACTGGGCCAGGGCCACACGGGAACTCTCTGTACTATCTTGGCAACTTTTCTGTAAATCTAAAATTATTCCAAAACAGTCTATTAATAATAATAATAAGTCACTAGATAAAGGAGTCAAATCTGCCACATCTTCAGCCAGTATCGAACTGTGACTTAGTAGTGAGTGAACACAGAGCATTCCGTTCTAGAGATTGAAGCAGGTGGGTCTCTGTACGAGAGGAATCATTCAGCAGAATGGACAGTGTCTGCAGCAGTAGTTTTACAGAAGATACGGAATATGGAAGCATTTTTGGTGTTGCTGTTTCTTTTATTAGCCCCCAGGAAAAGCCAAGAGCAGAGCAAGGAGCCAGCCCCAGGGAAGATGAAGCCTTTGCCATAGGGAAAGGCTTCAGCCATGGGTCACAAACACAGTCATAGCTTTGGCCCACCCGTATTATAAAAGTTGGTGAGCTGAGATACAAATGTGTATTTCTGACTTCTTTGAAGGTCTGACATCAACAGACGTAATTCCCACGTGAATGATGGGCTGGAGCTGAGCATCAGCCACTGCATTTGCACACTTGGACATTCGGACATGGCGTGACTCTCCAGTTTGCCGGGTCCACTACCTACCTGCCTTACTCACTTGTTCATGATAACACCTGGGTCCCATCAGCACCCCTGTTGCCAACTCTTTGGTTTAAGCTCCTGGGGTCTAACCTGTCGACCTGATGAATGTGTGTTCACATTCTGGGTGTTGAATATCATGCAGAAGAGAGAAAGGTGAGGTATTCTCTCTAACCTTCCCCCAGGAGTTCCCAGTTGGTTTTTTTTTTTTTTTTTCTATACGCGGGCCTCTCACTGTTGTGGCCTCTCCCGTTGCGGAGCACAGGCTCTGGACGCGCAGGCTCAGCGGCCATGGCTCACGGGCCTAGCCGCTCTGCGGCATGTGGGATCTTCCCAGACCGGGGCACGAACCCATGAACCCTGCATCGGCAGGCGGACTCTCAACGACTGCGCCACCAGGGAAGCCCCCCAGTCGGTTTTAATTACTCCAAAGCTAGGGAAAATCATTCTAACCCTGGGTCTAAGAGGGAGAGGCTTACCTGGAGGGTGCCCTAGTAGGAATCCTACTTTGCCACCTGCAAATTGGCAAAAGAAGTAAGGATCAGAGCCACAAAATGTCAGATATTTGGAAGAGAGCTACATAGACCTCCTAGCAATAATCTTTATAATCACTGAAACTAAAAATAGGCAGCTGAAACAGGGTTTAAATCCAGCTGAAGATAAAGGAAGTTATACAGCATGTAGCACAGAGACACAAAGCTAGGAAATTTGAAAGAGAGATTAAGAGACATGGAGGATAGTGTGAAAAGGTCTAATGTACATAAACTGAAGTTCCAAGAGGAAAGGAGAGAGAAAAGGTAAGAGAGGGAATATTAGAAGAGATAATGGCTGAGAATTTTACAGAACTGATTAAAAACCCAATTCATAAATCCAGGAAGCTCTAGAGATACCAAGAATGACAAGTGGAACCCCTGTCTAGAAACATCATAGAATGGAAATTCCCTGGTGGTCCAGTGGTTAGGACTCTGCGCTTCTATTTCAGGGGGCCCAGGTTCAGTCCCTGGTCGGGGAACTAAGATCCCGCATACTGCGTAGCCAAAAAAAAAAAGTGAAGGCAAAATAAGAGTAGAAATTTAAAGGGGGACGTAACTGTAAATATAGCAGGAATTTATGGCAATAACTTTTTAACTTGGATGAATGGACAAATTCCTAGAAAAATAATAACATTAAAATTGACTCATGAATAGATAGCTTGAATAATCCTATAGCCATTATAGAAATTAAATCGGTGGTCTAATCTTCATACAAAAAATGCTAAGCTGGGACTTGCCTGGTGGCGCAGTGGTTCAGTATCCACCTGCCAATGCAGGGGACACAGGTTTGAGCCCTGGTCTGGGAAGATCCCACATGCTGCGGAGCAACTAAGCCCGTGTGCCACAACTACTGAGCCTGCGCTCTAGAGCCCGCAAGCTACAACTACTGAACCCTGTGTGCCTAGAGCCCGTGCTCTGCAACAGGAGAAGCCACCGCGATGAGAAGCCTGCCGCATCACAACAAAGAATAGCCCCCCCTCGCCGCAACTAGAGAAAGCCCACGCGCAGCAATGAAGACCCAACGCAACCAAAGATAAATAATTAATTAATTTTTTTAAAATGGTAAGCTCACAAAGTTTTACAGATGAATCCTACAAAATATTCAAGTAACAGATGGTATCAATTTTATATAAACTCTTCCATACAATAGAAAAAGAGAGAATGTTCTCTACCTCCTTGTAAGTTGCCAGTTTAATCTTGATACCAAAATCGAAGATAGTTCAGGAAGGGAAAATGTAAATGCCAAAATTCTAAAACAAAATCTTAGATCAAATCCAGAAAATATCAATTTAGGTTTAATCCCAGAAATGAAAGGTTTATTTAACATCATAAAATATATTTATGAAAATCACCATATTAAAGGAGAAAAACCATGATCATCTCAATAGATTTAGAAAAAGCTCTTGAAAGTCAATATCTATTTATGATAAAAAACGCTCAGGAAACTCAGAGTCAAAAAGAATTTCTTTTTTTTTTTTTCAAAAAGAATTTCTTTAACCGATAAGAGTTGTCAGTCGCTGTTAGACTGAGGAACAAGTCCTGAGAGCAGGTGAGGGGATTAAGCAGAGATGGGGTCAGGAGGGTGGTGTACAAGCACACACACACTTTCCCATCAAAACTCTTTATATATTGCAGTAGGCAATACATGTTTTTGTTAAAATCACAAGACAGAATCATCAGACAGTATTTCCTTAGTGTTGAAGTTATAGTACAAAACATTCTGCGAACCAGAATATAAACATGCATGAGAACAGACTGTGATTACCGAAACATGCCAGGGACAAACTACAGTTAGAGAAACCGCAAGCAGCCTCACGGGCCAAGACTCATGTCTTCTCTAATAATCTTTCAGGTCCTGTCAAGAATTAAGCAGGACTTTGCCATGCTTTAAGCTGCAAGAACTGCGTCAGTTTGCAGCTGGTTCCCGACAAAGAGTGTCTCAAAAAAGAAAGTACAGTAAATGTCATTTGTTTAAACACTAGAACATTCCTTTTAAAATCAGGAAGAAGACAAATATACTTTCTATTTCCACTTCTGATCAACAGTGTACTGAAGGTCCTAGCTTTTAGAAGGAAACAAGAAAAACAAGTAAAAAGTTTAGGCATTAGGAAGAAACAAAACTCATCGTTTTGGGAATTCCCTGGCGTTCCAGTGGTTAGGACTGTGCTTCCACTGCAGGGGACACGGGTTCTATCCCCAGTTGGGGAACTAAGATCCCGTATGCCATGTGGGCTGCCAAAAATTTTTTTTAAAAATTAAAAAAAAAACCTCGGGCTTCCCTGGTGGCGCAGTGGTTGGGAGTCTGCCTGCCGATGCGGGGGACGCGGGTTCGTGCCCCGGTCCGGGAAGATCCCACGTGCCGCAGAGCGGCTGGGCCCGTGAGCCATGGCCGCTGAGCCTGCGCGTCCGGAGCCTGTGCTCCGCAACGGGAGAGGCCACGACAGTGAGGGGCCTGCGTACCGCAAAAAACAAACAAACAAACAAAAAAACCATCGTTTTGCAGATGATATGACTGTCTACGTAGGCAAGCCAAAAGAATCTATAAATTATTGAAAGTAATAAAAGAGTTCAGCAAAGTTGAATAAAGGCCCAAGAGGTTTTTCATGGAACTCTACAAGCTGATGGTAAAATTTCGATGGAAGCGTAAAGGACCGTGAATCAGAGCCAGAACACGCTTGAAGCAAAACAGGCTGGGGACTTGTTCCACCAGATACCAAAGTTTATTCTGAGACTTCTAAAGTCAGTGGGGCACTGGGGCAGGAATAGACAAATTGACCCGTGGAACAGAACCAAGAGCTTTGATTGTTTGGTATATGACAGAAGTGGTGTTGCAGACCACTGGGGAAGGAGGGACCATTTAATAGTGGCCCTGGGACAATAGGTTATCCTTATGGAGAGACACTTTGGATTTCTACTTTATACCACACACAGAATTCAATCCCAGAGAGATTAAAGGCTTACACGTGAATGGCAAAGTTTTAAACTGAGAAAAGAATATCTTTATGACCTCAGAGTGGAGGAGAATTTCTCCCCATACAAGAAGCACAGGCCATCAAGGAAGAGATCGATCCCTTTAACTACATTAAAAATGACTTTTAGGGACTTCTCTGGTGGTCCAGTGGTTACGACTTTGTGCTTCCACTGCTGTGGGCCTGGGTTTGATCCCTAGTCAGAGAACTAAGATCCCACAAGCCATGCGGCGCAGCCAAAATAATAACAATAATAATAACTTTTATTCATCAAAACTTACCATAAAGAAGGTGAGAAGATGAGTCTTAAACTAGGATAGGGTATTTACCACATATGTGTTAACAAAAGGTTAGCATCTAAATATATAAAGAACTTTAAAAAAAAAAAAAAGGGGGAGGAAAAGACAACCCAACAGAAAAATAGGAAAAACTCATGAACAGAAGAGGAAAATAAGTAGCCCACCAACCTGTGGGATGCTATTCCATCTCGTTAGTCATCAGAAAAGCACAACTTAAACAACATGAGATTTCCACCCACCATCTTGGCAAAATGAAAAACTGTCAACGCCACCCTGGTGTGCCGAGCAGGACGGACTGCCAGCCCCTGCTTCTGGGAATGTAAACAGGTGCAACAACTCTGGAAAACAATGTGGGCATCGTCCTTTAAGGATGAGCATTCACCTGACCTCCAGACCTTGATTCTCTGGGGAAACCTGCCTCTGAGCATCAGGAGATGTACAGGATGTCCCCAGCAGCCTCAAAGGGCAAAAAGCACAGGTTACACAGCAACAGTGGAAGAGATGAAACTGTGGCGTGTTTGTAAGTGGAATACGTACAGCTGTGAGAAGGGTGAACTATAACTACACGCACAAACACAGATGAATCTCAGGTGTAACTCGAGCAGAAAAAGCACATCACAGGATGTGGGCGAAATTTATGGTTGAGAGTAAAACTCAGGGAAAACAAGGGACTAATGAGCACCAGGTCGAGTGCTGATTCCTCAGATCGGGGAGACCACAGAGAGCAGTCAAGGAGGGGGCGGCTGGACTGACTCTTAAGCTGGGTGGTGGTTGTACGGGTGTCTTATTCTTTATAACATACATACTATATATTTTGGGTGTGTGAAATGTTTTACTAAAAAAAGAGGGTGGGGACTTCCCTGGCGGTCCAGTGGTTAAGCCTCCGAGCTCCCACCGCAGGGTCAGTACCTGGTTGGGGAACCGAGATTCCGCGTGCCATGCAGCCAAGGAAAAGTATTTGTTGAACACTAAGGATAATTGCCTGAACATTTGTCATGGTGAAAATAAAACTTTTTATTTATTTTTATTTATTTATTTTTAATAAATTTATTTATTTATTTTTTGGCTGTGTCAGGTCTTTGTTGCTGCGCACAGGCTTTTCTCTAGTTGCGGTGAACGGGGGCTACTCTTCGTTGCAGTGCACGGGCTTCTCATTGTCATGGCTTCTCTTGTTGCGGAGCAGGGGCTCTAGGCACTCGGGCTTCAGTAGTGTGGCACGTGGGCTCAGTACTTGTGGCTCGCGGGCTCTAGAGCACAGGCTCAGTAGTTGTGGTGCACGGGCTTAGTTGCTCCGCGGCATGTGGGATCTTCCCAGGCCAGGGCTCGAACCCGTGTCCCTTGCATTGGCAGGCGGATTCTTAACCACTGCGCCACCAGGGAAGCCCAATATTTATTTATTTATTTGGCTGCACCGGGTCTTAGTTGCGGCACGTGGGATCTAGTTCCCTGACCAGGGATTAAACCCGGGCCCTCTGCATTGGGAGCGCAGAGTCTTAGCCACTGGACCACCAGGGAAGTCCCTAAAAATGTTCAAAAAAAAAAAGAGGGTGATGATAATACCTTCCTTGTCTACAGCTCAAGTGAGACACGCAGAGGAGAACAATTAGCTTCACTTTAGTGTGGGCACTTACTCTGTGCTAGCACGTGATCCGCATTCCTCGCGTATTCAGCACAGGAAAGCTGCGAGAGAGCAGATGTAGTCCAGGGCTGGGCACCATTGGCTGTAGCCCCTGGCAAAGCCCCATGGATGCCGGGAGGGCGCCCATGATAGGCACTAACTGCTGCCTTCCCACAGGTGCTGAAGTCCACAGGGGACGTGGCTGGAGGCCGGGCCCTGTATGAGGGGTATGCGGCGGTCACCGATGCACCCCCCGAGTGCTTCCTCTCCCTCAGGGACACAGTGCTGCTCCGTAAGGAAGCCCGGAAGCTCATCGTTCAGCCCAACACTCGCCTCGAAGGTAATGGGTTCCTGAGCCCTCACTGATGGGGGCCGTGCAGAGCCCTCTGGGAGCACAGAGAAGGCCTGGAACCAACCCGGGCTCAGGAGAGGCTACCTGGGGTGGCCCTCCTCCCCATGCCAACCCTCAGGCCCACACCTTGGCATCTACCACCCCCCACACACACGGGGTCAAGCTGCTTCTCAGACGGCAACAGAAGGTTTGGGGCAGGCCAGCAGAGCAGGGGCTAGTAGAACAGGCAGACCCCGGGCCTGTGAGGAGGCCAGGCATCATACCGGAGAATCAGGCCTGTCGGGGGCCCAGGAGTGAGGTCAGCTCAGGCAGAGAGTTGGCACCCAGCAGGCTGAGTTGAGCCCAGGGGACAACAGGACTTGGCAGAGCCCGGAGAGAGATTAGCACCCCCGTGGTCCTTCTCCCTCCTCAAGCAATGATGCCGTTGCCAGAATCCCTGGCCCTGTCTGCCTTGCGCTTGTACCTCTTGTATGAAAGGCCCTTTTGTATTAAGAGCGTTTGCTCCTCACTGCCATAGTCATGGGCAGTGGTGAGGGTTAAATGAAATAATTACCTCCTCCTGGTGTGGAAAAAGCATTTAAAAGGTTTAGTCTAAACTCTACTCTGGGGAATTCCCCGGTGGCCCAGTGGTTAAGACCCGGCGCTTTCACTGCCAGGGCATGGGTTCAATCCCTGGTCAGGGAACTAAGATCCCCGCAAGATGCGTGGTGCGGCCAGAAGAGAAAATTAATAACAATGAAAATACAGCTCATTGAAAAAATAAAATAGAGGAGTTTGGCCCCCACCCCTTGGCAACCCTCTTCCCGCTCCCCACCCTCCAGGCACACCCCCTGAGCTATCACCCAGCTTCCTCGTCTTCAAACGGCTGTCACTCTGCCATTTTCCTGTCTGCTCGGCTGCTCATCTCCATGGCAGCAAGAGCAGCACATCCCTGACACCTGGCACAGGGCCTGGCCCACAGGAGCCTCTCAATGCCTGTCAAATGAGTGAGAGAATGGATCATGCCGGGCACATAGTCAGTGCTCATTACATGGACAATATCATCATTGCTTTGACTGTCCAGCCCTGGGCAGGCATTGGGGTTGGACTACTCACTTCAAGTAGTTCACAGCCCATTAGGAGTAAGCCAGATAGAGAAATGATCTTATAAGGGAAGTGTTCATGGGTGCCCAAGAGACACAAACAGTGGTCTGAACACTTAGAGAAGGGAAGATCACCTCTACTTTTGAGGGACTCAGGGAAGGGTCTGGGGAGGAAGTGGGGGTAAAACTTTAAGGCCTGAAGAACAGGTTGAATTTTCAAAGGTAGTGGTGGTGATGTTGATGAAGATGCTGATGATGATTGTAGCTGACCTTTGAGGACTCCCATGTGCCAGAGTCTGGGTAAAAACTTTCCATGGATCAACTCCCAACAACTCAATGAGGAAGTTATTATCCCCATTTTTCAGCTGGAAACTAAGACACAGAAGGGAATGTACTTGCTTGAGGTCATACAGTTAGTGGGTGGCAGGACCAGGATTTGAACTTGGGCCATCTGAACTCAGAGCCTGTGCTCTTAGCTGCGTACATCCCATGATGCCACAGGGCACAACAAGGTGCTGTGAGTGGGTAGAGCAGTGGAGGGATGTTAGAGGGAAGTGCTTCCCAGGAGTATTCAGGAACACCCCATAAGTGAGATGGGTACCCTGGGAACAGCCTCACTTAACAGGTGAGTAATAGGTTCAGGGGTCGTGATGCTCGTGGTAGCTGGCGCCTGGTGAGCATTCCCTCAATGCATGCTTGTATTTAATCACCACAGCTTCTTGAGACAACAAGCACTGTGCTTGCCCACACTTTACAGATGAGGAAACTGAGGCTTAGAGAGGATGAGAAACTTGCCCAGAGTCCAGCAGTAGACAGAGATAAGGCAATTCCTGGAGGCCAAGGACTGTGTCTGTTTTACCTAACATGGCACTGGTGTAAATCTTTATTAAGTGAATGAATGAGTGCAGCAATTCACTGAATACCCCCCCTTTAATATTTCCTATCTCATAGGATTATTTTAAGGATTCAGTTAGATAAAGAAATATTGAGGGGCTTCCCTGGTGGCACAGTGGTTGAGAGTCCGCCTGCCGATGCAGGGGACACGGGTTCGTGCCCCAGTCCGGGAAGATCCCACGTGCCGCAGAGCGGCTGGGCCCGTGAGCCATGGCCACTGAGCCTGTGCGTCCGGAGCCTGTGCCCCGCAACGGGAGAGGCCACAGCAGTGAGAGGCCCGCGTACCGCAAAAAAAAAAAAAAAAAAAAAAGAAATATTGAGCACAATTTTTGGCACATGGTAAGAGCTCAGGAAGAACTAGCTGCTCCTATGCTTATGATTGTGATTCTGCTTCCCTATTAAGACCTTTTCCTGCTGCTGTTTTTTTCTCCATCTCCTCCCCAGGCTCAGAAGTACAGCTTCTTGAGTATGAGGCCTCAGCTGCTGGCCTCATCCGATCCTTCTCTGAGCGCTTCCCAGAGGATGGGCCCGAGTTGGAGGAGATCCTCACCCAGCTGGCCACAGCTGATGCCCGGTTCTGGAAGTGCCCCAGTGAAACCCCATCTGGCCAGGCTTGAGGCAGATTTGCATGGCCCTTCCCCCACTCCACTAAACCAAGGCTGCAAGTGGCCCCCTTTTTGTCCGTGTCTTAGGGGCTAGGGGAGGGGCAGGAGCTCGGACCTTGGTGCTACCTCAGCCGAGGGTGGCGACACTAAGCCCTTCCATTTGACAGCACTTTCCAGCTTACCAAGTGCTTCCCCTGTGTTATCTCATCTGATCTGCACTGCCCTCTGTGGGGTGAGCAAGGCAGGACTCCTTACCCGGCTTCCCAGATGAGGCAATGCAGGTTCTGAGAAAGTGACCTGGCATCCTGCAGGACTCAAAACCTCTCCCAGTCCAGTGCTCTTCATGTATTACTTTTATAACCAGAAAAATAAATATTAGAAACCACCACCATCTTTGCAATTTGTGTGGTTCTTCCTTGCCTTTACCTCACTTCTCATTTGCTCCCAGCAAGGTGCTGGGATCAAGGCCTGTGGTGGGAGAAGGAGGGTTATTTTTAGGCTCCCATCCACAACGGGATTTTGACATCACCTCTAAATGTGGATATACAAAGAGTCAAGAGATGAACGTAGCACAATTTTTGCCGTCCTCCTTCGTGGCTTTTCTTCTATTTTAAAATATTCCAGGAACCTAAAACCTGGAAAGCCTCAACTTCAGCCACAATCCTAGGATTTAATCTCTTACCCTTTGTGTTTTTTCTCTGAGCCTGGACCTCTAGAGTAAGGAGGGAGAAAAGGAGTGGCCTCTTTTCCACCCGGTTAACCATGAGGATGAAGAGGGGAGGAGTTAGTTTTGCTGTTCATAAACACTACAGGGGCTCGTTTCCAGGGCTCAAAGCCAGAGGGCCCTGCTGCTGACTCTGAGCTGCAAGGCCCAAAAGCTCCTACTGGAAGGATCAAGGATAAATGATATGAGCTGGAATGAGGGATTGCATCTCAGTAGCTAGAAACCCGGCACAAGCCAGAGCATCCTGCTCGCTGGCCTCTGCGTCCCGGGCCGGAAAGCTGAGCGCCCGGAACCTTTATACGCGAGCTTTCCAGAACCCGGGCTCTATTAGGCGCTGCGCGGCGGCTTGCCGGAGCTGGTTGCCAGGGTGACGCCTGAGAAGATGGCTGCTGCGTCTTCGTCGGATTCCGACAGCGGCAGAGCTGAGAGGTGAAGGCTGGGGTCCTTGAGGCCTCTTTTCCTACCTATGTAAAGAGGGTGCCCTGGTCCCCGGGATCTGGGCTCCTGCGGTTCTCAGCAGCGCTGGCGGTCCTTGAAGGGCTCTTAGAGATCAAGTGGGGAAACTGAGGCCCAAGGAGTGAATGGGTGCGTGTGGGTGACTCGAGGTCACTGTGCGCCGGTGGTGGAGCCTGGACTTGGACCCAGATGTTCTATACCCCTAGTTCAAAGCTGCCTACACACCTCATTCTCAGAAACCAGCTCCGGCAAGTTTTCTTCCCCTTCCTTGGGATTCATCTTCCGCGCCCCCCGCAACTCTTTCCCTCTTCTCCCAGCAGTGAAGCCAGTTCGAAATGGCTGGATGCACACTACGACCCCATGGCCAACATCCACACCTTTTCCGCCTGCCTGCGTGAGTCTCTGGGACCAGGAACCCCGGTTCTTGGGGGACGGAGGAGTCGGATGGTTCTGTAGGGAAGCCTCTAGAATTCTGAGACCCTGGCTTATGGCTGTTTTATGTTTTCCAGAGCTGGCAGATTTGCATGGTGACGGGGAGTACAAGGTAAGCATATCACCCCAGAGGTGAGACTTCCCGATGGCTCCAAAGAAGCTCAGCATAATCTGGAATTAACGTGTACTTTGAAAAAGCACATTTAGGGTTAAATTTTATTTTTAATGTGGAAAGTGAAGAGAACCTGTTGATTTCACAGTACAGACTGCGGAAAGTAAAGCAGAGCAAAATGCTGCCGGAAATTATACTAAGATAAAGCATCTTAATTTTGTTAACTTGAAGTAATTCTTTACTGGAAGGGCACATCCCTTGGTTGGGGGTGGGGCGTTACTCTGGAGGGAAAGTAGAAGGGAGGAGAGTGAGAGTTTTATGTTTATCAAAAGGACGGGAGAGGCCACAACAGTGAGAGGCCCGCGTACAGCAAAAAAAAAAAAAAAAAAAGGGCATAGGGACTTCCCTGGTGGTCCAGTGGTTAAGACTCCATGCTCCCAATGCAGGGGGCCCGGGTGTGATCCCTGGTCAGGGAACTAGATCCCACATGCCTCAACTAAAGATCCCACATGCCCCAACTAAAGATCCCACATGCCACAACTAAGACCCCAGTGCAGCCAAATAAATAATTTTTTTTTTTTTTTAAGAAAAGGGTATAGATTTTAAGATTAGCCATGAGCTAATCATTGTTGAAGCTGGATGATGGGTATTTGGGGGTTCATTATATGAGTCTCTCTACTTTTGTATATGACTGAAAATTTTCCATAATAAAAAGGTTAAATTTTAAATTTTATTTAAAATATAAAAGTAAGTAAATAAAATATAAATAAAGAAATAAAAAATTGGGGGACTTCCCTGGCAGTCCAGTGGTTAAGAGTCCACACTTCCAATGCAAGGCACGTGGGTTCAACCCCTGGTCGGGGAACTAAGATCCCACATGCCGCACGGGGTAGTCAAGAAAATATTAAAAAAAGAAGAAAAATAGGGCTTCCCTGGTGGCGCAGTGGTTGAGAGTCCGCCTGCCGTTGCAGGGGACACGGGTTCATGCCCTGGTCCGGGAAGATCCCACATGCCACGGAGCAGCTGGGCTTGTGAGCCGTGGCTGCTGAGCCTGCGCGTCTGGAGCCTATGCTCCACAACGGAAGAGGCCACAACAGTGAGAGGCCCGTGTACCGCAAAAAAAAAAAAAAAGAAGAAGAAAAATAGATAAAAAATTTTGAAGGCACAGGTTTTTAAAAGTTTGAGATATATATTGGGCTAAATAAAGGAAGTTAACATGTCTGGAGTAGACTCTCTTTGAGGCAGTTTCACATACATAGATATTATTTATTAGTGGGAAAATAGATTCTGAGAGGCTGAGTTTACCGAGTTTGTAAAAGGTGGCAGACCTGGGTCTGTCAGCTCAGCCCTCAGCAAGGGCAGTGAACCCACAATGGGTGTGTTATGTGGGCAGCTTGAAGGGAGTCATACCCTACATGGACTGTGCAGTCGGATTTGGTGACTTTGGCCCCCAAATTCCTATCCATAAATCATTCAACAATTCGGCAAGCATACAGTGAACCCCTTCTGTGTGTCAGGTGTTGTGCACACACTAAACTTAGAAATGAGCCAGTCCATAGTCAGAAGGAGATATAGACAATGCCCTTAGTTCATCCATGATGTTGACTGAACACCTAGTGTATGCTTGGCGCTGGGCTGACAGCAGTGAAGGGTGGAGAAATCACAGACCCAATAACTAATGTGAAATGGTAATGCTTTTGTGTAATAACTTTTTCAATGGCTAGTTTGCTTACTGTCGATTCCAAGCATCTAACCCAGTGCCTGGCACAAATTAGATAATAGATAAATATTTTTGGGGTAGATGAGTGGATGCTAAAATAGAATATATGGAAATTATTACGGGAGCACCAATGAAAGAACAGTGACTCTATCAGGAGGCACTAGAGGGCAGTAACATGAACTGGTGCTGAAGGATGAATGAAGTGTCCCAAGAAGGCATGGAAGAGAGGAGGGCATTCCAGGCAGAGGGAACAGCACAAGCAGAGGCAGAGAGGCTTGGAAGTTCACAGCATATTTGGAAAGAGCAAATTTGAAATTAGAAAGTTGAGGCCAATATGAAATAATAGTTAAGACCACCGGCTTTGGATCCAGACAGACCTAGGTTCAGGTCCTAGCTCTACCACTGACTAGCCGGGTGACTTTTACCTAACATCTCTAAGCCACAGCTTCCTCATTTGTGAAATGAGGCTAATAATCGTACCTACCTCACAGGTTGTTGCTAGGATTAAATGAAAGGACGCATGAAGTTACTGGTGTGGCTCCTAGCACACTACATGCGCAGAATCCGGGCATTCTGTGGCCGCCCGCATTCTGGCTGGAGCATAGCATGGATAGGGAGGTGTTAGAAAACAAGTTGGGAACCAGATCAGAGGGGCCTTGAAGGCCTCACTCAGGAGAATGGGTTTGCATGACAGCTACGGTGGCTTGGAGGGTGGAAAAGACAGGCTGAGGAGTTTGGTTCTCCTCTCTGGGTCCGTAGAGCACATCCTGCTCTGCGTGACTGGTTCTGCATCTTTAGCTCTGTTCCCGTTTGGAAGCCAGGCCTCAGAGCCCAGATATGAGTTTCAGGCCCCCCACTGACCTCAGCAACTGTTCCAGTGTCTAGAACAGTGCCTGGCGTGGAGCAGGCCCTGAAGAAATGTTTGCTGAACAAGCAATGAAAACATGAGCTGCCACCTATTCCTCGCTAGGTTCTCTAGTTGATTACCTCATTTGATTTTCACTACAAGTGTCGTATGGTAGGTATTCCCCTTTTGCACGTGGGAAAACTGTGGCTCAGGAAGTTGCATCAGTTTTCCCAAGGTCACACAGCTTACAAGCCTTCTTGCAAAGCCTTTGCCCTTCCCCCACCCACCCATGGTGCATTGTGAGTGTATATGAATGTGCACCAGCAAAAAGCTAAGCCCAAGAAGAGGGGCAGTAGCGGGGGTGGTCTTTAGACCCTGAGCCAGGAATCAGCCCGCCTCTCTCTACAGCTGGTGGTGGGGGACCTTGGCCCAGGTGGGCAGCAGCCCCGCCTGAAGGTGCTTAAAGGGCCCACAGTGCTGAGCGAAAGCCCGCTACCTGCCCTGCCAGCCGCTGCTGCCACCTTCCTCATGGAGCAACACGAACCCCGGACACCAGCGCTGGCACTCGCGTCAGGCCCTTGTGTGTATGTGTATAAGAATCTCAGGCCCTACTTCAAGTTCAGCCTGCCCCAGTTGCCTCCAAACCCCCTGGAACAGGACCTTTGGAACCAGGCCAAAGAGGTGAGTGATGTGCAGGATGAGAACAAGAAGGCGAAGGTAGCAGCCTTGGGGTTGTCCTCGTTCCCTGCCTGGCTCTGGTGCTCACAGGCTGTACCTTCTTCCCATGCTGGCACAGGACCGGATTGACCCCCTGACCCTGAAGGAGATGCTGGAGGGCATCCGGTGAGATCCCACTTCCCGCTTCGTATGCCTCCTACCCCTCCCTCATTCCCCCACCCCTACGCCTTCATCCCAGAGCCCGCAGTCTGAACCCCAGGCCCTGTTCCTTAACTAAACCTGCCATGATGGTCCCTCTCCTTACAGGGAGAAGGCAGAGGTGCCTTTGTCTGTACAGTCACTCAGGTAAGGGCCCTCTGGAGGGCCAGGGCTCCAGAAGCTCCCAGCGGGGAGGGAGCGGCCCTGGAGTGGCCTGGGGAGGGCAGCCAGGCCCAAGGCATGCAGGTGTCAGTGCTCTGTGTGTCCAGGTTTCTGCAGCTGGAGCTGAGTGAAATGGAGGCATTTGTGAACCAGCACAAGTCCAAGTCCATCAGGCGGCAGGTACTGCCCCTCTCTTCTTATTTCCCTAGAAAAAATATGGACAGTTTTTTAAAGAGACCATGTAACGTTCGTGGTAAATTCTACAGCCAAATGCGACTAGTTTTACTTTGCAGTTACCCTTCCACATATATAGTCACAAAGCTGCAGGGCTTCTACTTTCCAGTTAACAGTAACAGCTTTTTTTTTTTAATAAATGTATTTATTTTCATTTAAAAATTTTTTGCTGCATTGGGTTTTTGTTGCTGCACGTGGGCTTTCTCTAGTTGCGGTGAGCGGGGGCTACTCTTCATTGCGGTGCGCAGGCTTCTCATTGCGGTAGCTTCTCTTGTTGCGGAGCACGGGCTCTAGGCGCGCGGGCTCAGTAGTTGTGGCACACGGGCTCAGTAGTTGTGGCGCACGGGCTTAGTTGTTCCACGGCATGTGGGATCTTCCCAGACCAGGGCTTGAACCTATGTCCCCTGCACTGGCAGGCGGATTCCTAACCACTGCGCCACGAGGGAAGCCCCACAGTGACAGCTTTGAATTGATATACAGTTATGTAGCTTTATATAACTTTTATCATCTTGGGGGTAAAGGTAATATATTTTCATTAGAGAAAACTTTGAAAATAAAGAGAAATATAAAGGAGAAATATAAGTGACTACACTCACTACTCAGAGGTACTCTTACCAGTTTGGTACATTTCCTTTATAAATATGCTTTTATATCCTGCTTCCCTTGAGTACATAACATATATCTTGAGCATTAGTCTTGAAGAACTCCATTTTTAATCAAGTGACCCCTTGATTATTTCATGGATTGTTCATTATTTCATTCATAGTTTATGTAACTATTCACATGCAGGTCATTGGAGAAGAAATGTCTCCTTTTTATGCACTTCATATTTTTCTTAGTTATGCTTTTAATGGCTTTATTGATGATCCTATTCGTTGATGAACTCCAGTGGTTCCTGACCTAGGGGTTCCTGACCCTAGCCCAGGGATGGGCTCCCATAGCTGTCCCTGCATTTCAGAAAGCCGCAGGGGAACCGGCTACTTCCTGTAGAGGCCACGTGAGCCGAACACACTGACCAACACGTACCTCAGCCTTTGGCTAGCCTTAGACAATTCTGTGAGAAACATTGTTCTCTCCTGCCGAGCAGCAGCTGAGGTCCACAGGTGTCACTATCATTGAGTACTTTTAAAATCAGGAAGTAAATGAAGTAAGTATTGCTTAAAAGATGCAGTTTTGGGGAGGCCATCGTTCCAAGTATGTGCATGGTTACATGATTGGGAGCCACTAACGTCCATGTTTCTATAACTTTTCTCCTTCCACTAGGCATTGAGGATCATTCCTTTTTTTTTAATCTTAAAGATAGTCACACAATGAACAGCTTCATCCAAAGAAACATTTTAGTCCCGCTAAGTTACTTCCATAGGAGAAATTCCTAAAAAAGGGATCATCCCCTTCTCTTTTGTTTTCTCTCCAATCACAATTAGAAAAAGAACATATTCCCACTGTAGAAACTGTAGGAAAGCACAATGGAGAAATTAAACATCACCTATGATCTCATTGTCCAGAGATAACCAGTGTTTGTATTTAAGGGTTTAGCTTTCCAGCATGTTTTTTTATTCATATATTTTTTTTAAACTGGGATAATACTAACATAACTTTTTACCTGTGTTTTCTCTTAATACGTTAGAAGCATCCTCCCTGTCACTGAGTCTTCTTGTAAAATGTGATTTTTGTAAATGACTGCATGGGTTTTTTATCATACAGATAGTTTATAATTGACTTAGACAATCCTCTTTTGTTAGAAAGTTAGGTTTGTTGCAGTAAACACCTTTGTACATAAATCTTCTGTCACATCTCTGATACTCTTCCTCCTCCTTTGCCCTCTTTCTTCCTGGGGCGTCCTGGGAGTCTCTGGGGGGATGGTGTGAGGGGAGCTACTGGGTGACCCCTGGAGTCCCTCTGCAGACAGTCATCACCACCATGACCACCTTAAAGAAGAACCTGGCTGACGAGGACGCTGTGTCCTGCCTGGTGCTGGGCACTGAGAACAAGGAGCTCCTGGTGCTGGACCCAGAAGCCTTCACTGTTTTGGCCAAGGTCAGTGTGGGGCCTGGCCGTGGGCACACCCGTGGCCCAGGCTCCATTCCCTCCCCTGTTCCCCAATATCTCCTGCCCCCCAGTTAGTTCTTGGTAATATGTGTTCACTGTGGAAAATTATAAAATGTAGATAAGCGTAAAGAAAGAGATATAGGGACTTGCCTGGCGGTCCAGTGGTTAAGACTCTGCGCTTCCACTGCAGGGGGCACGGGTTCAAGCCCTGGTCGGGGAACTAAGATCCTGCATGCCATGTGATGGGGCCACAAAAAAAAAAAAAAAAGAAGAAGAAAAGAAAAAGATATATATCCCCAAATCCCACCACCCACAGATAAGTCTTTGGCATAAGTCTTTCCAGACATTTTCATATTTAGACACAGATATATAACTTTACGTAATTTTTTTTTTTTTTTTACAAATATGGCCTCTTGGCATAGGATCATGTAAGCTACTGTTTTCATGTAGCAGAAGCTTATCAATATCTTTCCATATCTATATAAAACCACATCAGCCTTTGCAAAGGCCACACAACATCGATTATATAGATGTACCCTGTCACCTATTGTACATTTGTTTGCAGTTTTTTGCTATTATTAACACCACCTCAGTGGGCTTCCTTGCCCAGACATCTTTGCGTGCTTATCTAAATGCTTCCTTACGATGCATTCCTAGAAGTGGCCGAGTTTAGTCAAAGGGCTACATGTTGCCGAGTTTCCTTCCAGAAAAATTGTACAAGTTTAAACTGTGACCAGCAGGGTGTGAGTGAGGAGATTGGGACTTGGAGGAATTACTTCAGGTCAGGGAAGGGCTGGGGCTCCAGGGAAATCGGGATGTTTGAGTCTGTTCTTTGCAGATGAGCCTACCCAGCGTCCCCGTCTTCCTGGAGGTTTCTGGCCAGTTCGATGTGGAGTTCCGTCTTGCTGCTGCCTGCCGCAACGGGAACATCTATATGCTGAGAAGGTAGCCACATCCGTGGTCTCTGGGGCTAGAGGAACATCTCAGAAACCTGGTGGTCTTGAGGGCTTGTAAGATGAGCAGGGGGCTTTGGGGCTGGAATGTGGGAATGGAAAGAGCTGAGAACTTCATATAGGAGGCAGAGCCCTTGAGCACAGGGGACATGTGGAGGCTCGTCCGATGGGGCCTGGCAAAGTGAGAGACTGGGCCGGGTGGCCGTAACACGAGTGATGCAATCAGATATTAGAAGAAATGAAAATAGTCTCTCATACTTGTTCTGTTGCTTTTATAGGTATGTGAAGTTTCCTTATGCGTTAGTTTGATATTTCTCAACAGTCATTTTTTTTAATTCAAGAAATGTTTTCGAGCACCTACTATGTATGAAGCATTGTATAAGCTATTGGGGATATATTGCTGAACAAAACATTAACAAAGTCCCTGCCCTTGTGGGAAGATAGATATTAAAGTCAGCAAACCAAGGTAATATTGCAAACTGGATGCTGTGGAGGAAAACACAGGCTCAACGGGAAAAACAATGCGGTCAGGGTGACCAGCGAGTGTCTGTCTGGGGAGATGACTTGAAGGTTAAGAAGGAGCCAGTTGTTCAGAAAGTGAAGCAAGGGCTTCCCTGGTGGCGCAGTGGTTGAGAGTCCACCTGCTGATGCAGGGGACACGGGTTCGTGCCCCGGTCCGGGAAGATCCCACGTGCCGCGGAGCAGCTGGGCCCACGAGGCATGGCCGCTGAGCCTGCGTGTCCGGAGCCTGTGCTCCGCAAAAGTGAAGCAAGAGTGTTACAGGCAGAGGAAATTTAAGCGAACTCTAGGCGGGAAAGACATTATCTTGTGCCACTCAAGCTCGGTGGCAAGACATGACCTAGAGACCAGGGTCGGCTCATGCAGGACTTGGTGGGACATGGTAAAGATTTTGGATTTTATCCGAAGTGCAGTAGAAAACTATTATGGGGTTTTACTCAGAAGAATGACATGACCCGTTTACATTTTTTAAAGATTACCGTGCTGGGTGGAGGGTAGATTGGAAGGAGTCCCGGAGACCAGTAGGGAAGCTCTCAGAGGAGTCATTAGGTGGGAGATGACTCTGGCTCAGACTTAAGCAAGGTGGGCTAGAGCCTGTGATGGACAGACAGGAATTATCCCTACTTTCTTTTTTTTTTTTTTTTTTGTGCTATGCGGGCCTCTCACTGCTGTGGCCTCTCCCGCTGCGGAGCACAGGCTCCGGACGGCAGGCTCAGCGGCCATGGCCCACGGGCCCAGCCGCTCCACGGCATGTGGGATCTTCCCGGACCGGGGCACGAACCCGCGTCCCCTGCATCGGCAGGCGGACTCTCAACCACTGCGCCACCAGGGAAGCCCCCTACTTTCTTGATAAGAGAAATTAAGACTCAGAGGCCAGGAAACTGAGAACAGTGCATTTACACAGAATAAACTCCTCATGCTTTTCTGATGAATTACTAAACTGCGTCAGTCCGTTACTTTGTCTAACCTGCAGTGCGCTCACTGTAAACTGGTAAGTGCCAGGTTATCACACAAATTACTGTGGTAAAGTTGAGAGGAAGACTAGGAGGGAAGACACACTTCCTGTTATCCAAGGTCGTGCAGCTACTAAGTCACAGAGGTGGAACTAACAGCGCAGTCATCTGCTTGTGGGCCAAGGTTCCTGCCAGGGTAGTCTGTGGGGCTTGGAAAGAGGAGGGTCAGCCGGGGAAGGAGAGAGGTTCCTCTGGGGCTGGGAGAGTGTGTCTTTATTCCACAGAGACTCCAAGCGCCCCAAGTACTGCATCGAGCTGAGTGCCCAGCCCGTGGGGCTTGTCCGGGTTCACAAGGTCCTGGTGGTGGGCAGCAACCAAGACAGCCTGCATGGCTTCACCCACAAGGTGTGGCCTCTGGGCAAGCACCAGCCCCAGCCCCTCCACCCATGCCTCCTTAGTCCCCCTCAGCAGGCGAGCCCTTCCGGCCTTCCCTTCCCAGCAACTCCAGCCACCCCTTCTTTCCACTCTTAAGCCCTGAGCCCCCTGCAGACATTTAACCGTCCCCTGCCCCCCACGCAGGGTAAGAGGCTGTGGACAGTGCAGATGCCCGCAGCCATCCTGACCATGAACCTCCTGGAGCAGCGCTCCTGGGGCCTGCAGGCCGTCATGGCCGGACTGGCCAACGGAGAGGTCCGCATCTACCGCGACAAGGCCCTGCTCAGCATCGTCCGCACGCCGGTGAGCTGCTGCCTCCTCCTTGCCCCGCTCCCGCCTGTGGGGCCCCTTCACTGCCTCTCCTGACCCCACTCCACCTGCCACCCTTAACTTCTGATGCATTTTGAAAACATTCGTTGAGCATCCCATATGCACAACTCACTGTATTAGAAGGATAAATCAGTGACTGAATCCTTACTGTCGGGGAACTTACAGTCTGAAGTGATAGCCAGCTAGAGACACAGCCGATTCAAATACAAGGCAGACTAAAGCAGAGCAAAGCACTGAAAAAGCACAGAGGCAGCCCAGTGACTGGGGGCGGGGGGGGTGAAGGATAAATGGGGACGGGACTCAGCGGCCATTTCACAGGGCAAACCACAATTCAGCTGGGCCTCGAAGCAGTCTGCTTCGATAAATGGAGTGGATAAATGGAGATAGAATATTCCAGACTGGAAATAACATGAACAAAGGCTGAGAGGCATGAGTGTTCTTTAAAGGAGTCCAGGTAGTTTGATGAATCTGGACCAGACTTTTTCAAACAAAATCAATTTAATAGGCCAGCAACAGAACCAGAAAAAAGAAGTTCAGAATATATCACATGTGAAACTTTGTGTACTTGTATGTATAAAGTGTCATATGTCACAATGTAAAATTGGAAAGCAGCTGGTTTGGACCACAGGCTGCTGGGAGGGCAGGCGGTGTGGTGTGTGGGTTGGGGAAAGGGCAGGGAGAGAACTGATAGAAAAGGCAAGTTGGCGTCAGATGCGGAAGGCCTTGAATGTCCTGAAAAGGAGGGCAAAAGCCACTGGAGGTTTTTCAGCAGGGAATAGGTGTGGTCATATTTGTATTTTTGAAAGGCAGCAGAGGCAGCAGTGTGAAAGACACTGGGGAGGAAGACTAGGCTGGGAGACCTCTTAGAAAGCTGACCCCAAAGCCAGTGATGTTCAGTCTGGAACTGTGGCCGTGACAGTGAGGAGGGGGCTGGGATTAGAGGCAGCGTGGCTCCAGGCCTCGCCTCACATCTCACCTCTTACATCATATCTGGGGTCTCCAAGCCTTATCCCCCTCCCCCCAGACTTGCTCTCCTCACTGAGTCATTTTCCCAGCTAAACTCTGACATCGCCACCGTAGGATGCAGTGACCAGCCTTTGCTTTGGCCGCTACGGGCGGGAAGATCACACCCTCATCATGACTACACGAGGTGAGGCGAGTCGGGCCTGGCAGGGTTTTTAAAGTTGGGAGTCAGTGAGATAGGCCAGATCCTGGGAAAGAAGAGGAGGCGGATGTGGAACATTGGTGGGCCTAGGTTTGGAAAGCAGGGCTTGCAGACACGTCCTGTCTGGGCTGGGCCTTCACTGGGGACAGCTCACCAGCAGTCTGATGTCACTACCTGGGGGCCAGGCCCTGGCTGTGTCTCCAGTTCACCCCAGTATCCGCCACAATGCGGAACTGGAACATCGCAGTGGTCAATAAATAACTACTAGGGAATTCCCTGGCGGTCCAGTGGTTAGGGCTCTGCACTTCCACTACAGGGGGCCCGGGTTCGATCCCTGGTCAGGGAAGTAAGATCCCGCAAGCAGAGTGACGCAGCCAAAAATAAACAAGTAAAGCAGCTGCTCAATGAATGGATGAATTAATGGGAGGACACACTCCATTCCTTCCAGAGACTCAGAGTCTCAGCAGGAAGACTGAAATGGGTCGATATGAGACAGATTGTTTGGGAAGAAAGAATGGGAACGTAGGGTAGAAATGGGGAGGACAAATCTGCTTCTGCCTGTCCTCCTCCCTAGGTGGTGGCCTGATTATCAAGATCCTGAAGCGCACAGCAGTGTTTGTGGAGGGGGGAGGTGAAGCAGGTCCCCCACCAGCCCAGGCCATGAAACTCAACATGCCCCGAAAGACCCGGCTTTACGTGGATCAGACACTGCGAGAGCGGGAAGCCGGCACCGGTGAGATTCAGGCTGGCTCCTTCCTCTTCCTCCTCCCTTGCGCCAAAGCAGCAGGAACTGGGTGAATGCCGCCTGGGTGCCCTGAGCAGTGGGAGGAGACCTGGGTGAACCGGGTGGGTCTCATGCCTCTGGAAGCCCAGAGACAGCCTAGGAGGTACACCCTGCCAACAAAGAGCTACAGCTCAAGGGGGAAGGTGCTGTGGGTGAGGGCGAGAGCCCTTAGAACTCGAGGAGGGAGCAGCCACTTTTAGATGGAGGAAGTCTCATGAGAGAAGTAGAATCTGATCGAGGTTCTTCCTTATCCTATTTGATTTTCCTGCTCTTTTGTTCATTCATTCATTCATTCATTCACTTAATACCTATGATTATGCCAGGCCTTGTGCCGGGTGCCTAGAATTAGGCCAGTCCCTACCTAAAGAGCTCAGTAAACCTTACTAACTTCATGTTGCATGACAGGTGTAGAATAAGTCTCTGCAGAGGGCTGTTGAGACACACAAGGGAGTGTGTTTGCCTGGGAGCCTGGGAAAGGCTTCAGAGAGAGATGATATTGGATTTGGCCCCAAAAGCTGATTATAAGCCTACCAGCCAGAGAGGGAGAGGGGAGGGCGATTTAGGAAGAGGCTTGGGAAAAGGCGCAGGGCCCTACTTGGATCTAAGCAGCATCTGTCATGTAGCTGCGGGTGCAGTGCAGGAAGGCTCAGTGGCCAGCGGGGAGGCTGGGAAAGCAGGTCAGCTGGCTCCGAAAGGGTCTGGAATGCAAAGTTAAGATGTTTTGGTTTATTCCGTGTAGTGGAGAGATGGGAAAGATGTTAAGCAGAAAAATACAGTAACTCAACCCCCTCTGTCTTTGAAAGGAATCTGGCTTACAGTTTAAAGGATAAATTACAAGATAAAGAAAATAGCTAGCAGGCTGTTGTAGCCTAGAGAACCCAAGAGAAGCAATTGATATATTAGAGAAATAATTAAGAAGTTCTCTAAGGTATAATGAAAATAGCAAGAATCAATAGCTTTTGTATATACCAACAGTATCCAGTTAGAAAAGAGAAAGTTTCCATTCACAATAGCAAAGAAATCCTTAGACGTAAACTTAACAAGAAAACATACAAAGTCTAATAAAGAAAATTATAAAACTGCTTTAAAGAACAGGAAAGACCACCTGAATATTTAAATGATGAGACTTACCAAGTCTCAGGGTAGTAAGACCTAAAGTTGTAAAGCTGTTGATTAGTTAACAGCTTCTGAAATTAATCTAGAAACATAGCAAAGTTACAGTTAAAATCCCTATGGGTTTTATTTTGAGGACTTGACCAGTTGATTCTAAGAGTAAATCTAAGAAGTTTGGGGAAAATAAGAATGAGGAGACTCAGCCTATCAGATAGCAGAATGAACTATGAAGCTGTAGGAATTAGCAGCTGTGGCATCAGTATGGGAATTGATACAGCTCAGTGGCACGTTTAGGAAGTCCAGAAACAGACCCTTGTACGCGTGGAAAGTCAGTATATGATAGATGTGTCATTTCAAATAGTGGGGGAAGGAGAGACTGTCCAAGAAACATAATTAGGACAACTTGTTTCTAGAAAAAAAGTTAGAACTCTACCTCATACCAAACACAAAAGTTAATTCTGGGTAAATTTAAAATAAACTGTGAACGTATTAGAGGAAAAAGGAAAGATGAAAGGATGGGGTAACATAAAGATGAAAGCTTCTGAATGGCAGAAGGCTCCTCGCAGGCACAAGGAACAAGGACAGACTGGCTGACCAAGGTGCTCAGTCTGGAAAGTAGGGACAGTGGGATGGAGGGGAGGGAGCGGGCTCTGGAGAGGCCCTGAGGAAGGGTCATCCGACCTTGGCCAATGATTAGCTGTGAGGGGTGAACCTGGGTGACTTGATGGACGGGGATGCAGTGACGGAGTTAGGGAAATGAGGTTGGTTTCCGCAGCGTTGAGCTCCAGGGGTTGATGGGACGTCCAGGTGGAGGTGCCCATCAGGCAGTTAGAAGCAGCAGGCAGGCCGGGCGCCGAGCTGCCCAAGATGAGTGCACGGTACCAGGTGCAGATGCGGGCCAGACCCTGATGCACCCCTGCCCTCAGGAGCTCGCGGTTGTTCCTCTTTGGGGTGGTCACAGCCGGGGCAGGACATGGATGGGGCAGCGAGGAAGACAGAGGATGAGAAGACCAAGGACAAAACTCGAGGGAACCCCAGCCCTTACTAGAAGGAGCCAGCAAAGGAGGCTGCGGTTGTGTGGGCAGCCAGGTGGTGCGAGAACCAGGAAGGAGGAGCAGGGAGTGGTCTGCAGCGTCCAGTGTCACCAGAGGCTGGCTGTGGGACCTCAGTCCTCCCATTGCCCACGTTCCCAGCCTCTGCCCACTGTGCCTCCCTCTCGCACTCTCCCCACGGCCGCCTGAGCAGCACCCTCTCCCCCAGCCCTGCCTCTCCTCCTGCCTCACGTCCAGCATGCTCACGTCCAGCATTGGCCCTTTGTGTGCCTCCTCAGCCATGCACCGGACCTTCCAGGCAGACCTCTACCTGCTGCGCCTCCGGGCCGCCCGTGCCTACGCGCAGGCCCTCGAGTCCAGCCTGAGCCCCGTGTCTGCGACGGCGCGGGAGCCGCTCAAGCTGCACGCTGTGGTGAGCACCCACGTGGCGGGGGGCATCAGGCCACCTCAGGGCCAGAAGGGCAGAGGTCAGGGCTGTGCGGGCACCCCTCGGCCCAGGAGCGGATCCCAAGGCAACTAGGCCCCGTGCCCCTTCTCACCTTCCCACAGGCCCAGGGCCCAAGGCTCACGTCCTCCTCTGTGAGAGCGCTCTCACCTCTTTCCTGTGCCGCCTCTTCCCCTTGGCTGGCCGCAGAGTGGGGCACGCTCTCCAGCCCCCTTATTCCATGCGGTGCCTCAGATGAGCCCCCAGACTTGGGGCAGGGCACACAGGTGGTCACCTTGGGCTGTTTCTTCCCAGGAGCCTTGAGGGACTCTTACAGCTGTGGTACAGGGAAGAAACCTGTTCATTTCGGTAACTGCCGGCAGCCCAAGGAGTTGGGACTGCCCAGTACTGGGAAGGGGCCATCCTGAGACTTACACTGGCACAAGGAGGATGAGGGCCCCTTGAACTCAGACACAAGTGACCTCAAGGTCGTCAGGGCTCCAGCCGGCTCTGAATGGGTCCCTGAGGTGTGCTGTCTGATCCAATTGGGCTTCTGATAGCTCTTTCCTTAAAGAAAGTGGATAGATACAGAGAGGAAGCGGCTGCAGAGCAGTCGAGGATAAGAGGGAGGAAAGTGAAATCCTTGCAGCCACCAGAGGACGAGAGGAGTAGGTTGGGCCAGGCCCTGCGAAGAGCGGGGTGGGGCAGGGCACGGACACAGGTGGGAGCCAGGGCCGGCTTCCCCAGGCCAACTGTGCCTCCGACCAACTTGCTGAGTGGCCTCGGTCGAGCCCCTTCTCCTCTCTGGGATTTTGCTCATCCCTTGCACACGGAGCCAAGCTTCTGAGCTCCGTGCCTTTTTAGGGGCGGATGGACAGTGCATTAGAATGGTTCGAGGAAGGTGACTTGAGGGCGCTGATGGGGGAGCGGGCGGGCAGGGCCAGGGTAGGCCGTATTCGGCCCCCAAGGCCACTAGGTCCTACGGGCTTTCTCCCCACCCCACCCTCTGCACAGGTTCAGGGCCTGGGCCCCACCTTTAAGCTCACCCTTCACCTGCAGAACACCTCAACAGCCCGACCCATCCTGGGGCTGCTGGTCTGCTTCCTGTACAACGAGGGGCTCTATGCTCTGCCCCGGGCCTTCTTCAAGGTACTGGACCCACCTTACTGAGACCTGGAGTGAGAAAGGGTGGGCGGGGCCGGATTAGATGTCCGCAGGTCAGAGGTGAGGGAGCTGGCAAGTGGCTACAGCCACAGACCAGACTAGGGTGCAGCAGGGGCCCTGGGGAGAGCCCCCGAGACCTGCCTCAGCTGCTTTTCTCCCAGCCTGTGAGAGGTCTCAGGGAGGCACACCGAAGGTTCTGGGAGAACAGTGAGAGTCCAGGCCTCACCGGTGCTGCTCTCAGAAGCCTGTTGGTGCTCTGGGGTCCCAGAGCCCGCCCTGTTTTCTAGCCACTCCTGCAGCAGGAATGGGAGCCCCACGGAGACTCTTCCAAGATGAGTGCACAGTACCAGTGCACCGGAGTGAAGAGCCTTGTTTCCCCCCAGGTCCAGGTTTGACCCTAAGTTGGAAGGACCAGAAACTGAGAAAGACTTTGGGATGTGAAAGAAATAGCCCTGGACTTGGTTGGAGGTTTAGGTTTAGGGACTTCTCTGGTGGCCCAGTGGGTAAGACTCCACGTTTCCCCTACAGGGGGCACGGGTTCAATCCCTGGTCGGGGAACTAAGATCCCGCCTGCTGTGCGGTGTGGCCAAAAGAAAAAAAAAAAAAAAAAAAGGTTTAGCTTTAATTAGGGACATGCATGCAGCCCTGCGGCATTCACTCCCCCCACTGAGCCCACATCCTCCTCAAACTGGCTTGTCATCCCTGCCCACCCTGCCAGGGCACACTGAAGTTCAGCTGGGACAACAGGTATGAGAGTGCTTTGGAATCTACCAAACACTGTCTAGGCGTGAGGGCTGACTTCTTTACCTCTTTGTCCCCAAACTTAGGTCCCCTTGCTGGTGCCAGGGCTCAACTACCCCCTGGAGACCTTTGTGGAGAGTCTTAGTGACAAGGGCATCTCAGACATTATCAAGGTAGGTTGCCGGTTGGTACTAGTTGGGGAGGTCAGTGTGAGTGAGTGCGGACAAGGCCCCTGGGTGGCTGCCAGGATGGGGTGGGTGTCTGCCCAGTAGAGGCCTCCCAGCCTCCCCCTCCCCTTTGACAGAGCCCTGCACTAGGGCCAGTGCAGACCAGACCGTGCTTGGCCTTTGCAGGAGCAGGGGTAAAGGGGGAATGCCCCCTACTACCTGGGGCACCTTCTCCATAGGTGCTGGTGCTCCGAGAAGGCCAGAGCGCACCCCTGCTCAGCGCCCATATCAACATGCCTGTGAGTGAGGGGCTGGCAGCTGCCTGACGCCTGAGCCCGTGTTAAAGCCCCTGTGGAATCAGGACCAGGGAGTTCCAGCCCCTTCCACTGAGCCGGGCAGAGTCCACGGCCCCAGGCCCACTCCAGTGCAGCAGTGTGCTGGGCGACAGCCTCCCTCTCCTCTCCTAGTGCCCCTTTCTCACCACCCTGACCACTGGGTGACCTGTAGCAGCAGGTCAGTGAGTCCCCAGGAGGTTGGGCTCCATCCTCCTCAGGGAAACCCAGGCATTGGCCCTTTGGGCTCTCTCTTCTCCCCACTTTTCCCCAGAAGCCACTCCCAGGTCTGAAGGCAGAGTTCTGAAGTGCTCAAGGTGAGATGAGGGCATAGGCCCAGCCTCCTTGTCTGCCGTTTCCCTTAGGCATGTCACTCTGCTGCTGCTGCAGAATTGGCTGGGGCCTTGCCTGAGACAATCAGAGGCTCTTCTTGGGTGAGACTGAGCCCCCTGTTGCTCCCTGGGGTTCCAGAGGCTTGGCTCCTCCCAGCTCAGCTTGCAGACAAAACACATCCTCTGATCTCCCCTCGTGAGCTCAGCAGGGGGCCCCGGGAATAGCTGCCTTCCCACCGGAAGTCTTGGGCTTAGCCAAGGTCTCAGGCCTGTGATGCTCCATGAAGATCACCAAGGGAGAAGCTGCTGCGGGGGGCAGAGAGCGCCGTGCAGGAGCTAGTGGCCCCAGCCCCCACCAGGCTTCTGAAGACCACACAGCTGCTGCTCCTGACTTGGATGCTCGTGCCCAGAAAGCATCCCAGGAGAGGAAGGCTCAGAGAGACAGAGCAGAGGTGGGGCCGCGGCACACAGGAGGGGCGTCTCTGGGGTCCTGGGGAGGGGCTTTGGGAGGCAGAAGCCTAGAACTGCCAGTCAAGATGCTCTTCTGTGCCCCGGAGCCCAGATCGGTCAGGTGAGTGGCAGGTTCACTGGGCAGTGGCCACAGTGTGAGATTCACTGGAAAGGCATGGACCATAGGTGTTGAGTCAGGTTGAAGACTGAATGAAGGTACATGTTTAGACCTTAAGCATCAGAGACCCGCAGTCTGGGCCCTTGGTGCTTCCTGGAGCCCCCTGGCTAGTCTGCCTGGCCCGCCTCACAGCCTTCTTTTGAGTTAGCGCTACCAGGGCCGCCCTGAGCCATTTGTGAGCCAGGAACCCTACTGCCTGAGGAAGGACCTATATCTTCTGTCTGACCAGGTACAGGCTAGCATGTGGCAGACAGCTCAGGCTTGTGGGAAGTACCCAAATCCCTGTGTGTTTCAGTTTCCCCAAGCGTAAAATGAGGCAGTTTGACCAGATTCAGCTCTAACATCCTAGAGTTGGCAGCCCCTCTAGAGGAAACAAGGAGTCAACTCCAGAAAGTAGGTGCAGGAGTAGTGCAGAGCTTTTGCTCTTGAGACCAAGGGCCCCAAGCTGATTGATTCTGCCGGGCAACAGCCTCTGTGCCGGAGACAGTGAGGGACAGCCCACAGTCACCCCCTGTCCTCCCCAGGGAATGCATTCTGGGGCCAGGTTAAGAGAAGCAAGGGGACTGGACCAGAGAAAGAGCCCCATCCCCCTCCTCTCTGCAGAGTCCAGCCACTCGCAAACAAACCAATTGGATCAGGGTGGTCTAGACTTTCTAGATCGAGCTGACTGAGGCACAGTTGGAATAAGCAGGACGTTTCGTCTGGAAATGGAAAGACAGGTAGAGCGAGTGTCGCTGTCAGAGAGATTTCAGCTTAACCTGAAGAGTCTTCTGAGAGAGCTTATCAGAGACAGAAGGGCCTGCCCTAGCAGGTATTGGGCCCCTTGTCACTGGAGCTGTGTCACTGGGGCTGGGCCAGATGACCTCACAATCCCTTTCACCCCAGTGAAGTGATGAACTGTGTGAACTCGGAACAAAGAAGTCTGATCTGGGTTCAACTCATAGTTATTCATGATGATGAAAGCGGAGAAACTATTCCTAAGCCCAACCTAACGTGAATTTATATGATATAATACAATGTACCTATTATTAAAAAATATGTGAATTGTACTGGTCTGGACAGTGTAAATAAAGCAATACAAAGCAAGAAACTGTGCATGATACCCCATGCCCTCACCAGTTAGAGCTCCAAGAAACTGTACATTAACGATGAGGAGAGTGGTGCTGCCTTTTTTTTTTTTTAAGTATCTAAAAACATGTACCTACTTGGTACTATGGAATTAGGCAGTTTATAACAAGAAAACAGCCTCTCAGGAATTTCCTGGTGGTCTAGCAGTTAGGACTCGCGCTTTCACTGCAGCGGCCCGTGTTCAATCCCTGGTCCGGGAACTAAGATCCTGCAAGCCTCTCCCCATTCCCCAGTACTGCCCCCATGCTACAGTTCTCTTAGCTATTCTTTAAATATGTTTATGCTTAGACATTATTTCTTGGCTCCCTATCGTAATAGATGAGGCTTATAGCTCTCTTGTGGGAGTACCCTGCCCTCTCCTTTTCTCCCTAGTTTTTAGGTAAATTCATACTGTTTGGATTACTGTGTGAAAGTTATCTACTTATTACAGAGCCAAGAATTGGGCTATAATTAAATTACCTTTTTTGTGTACTTATTTTTCATGGAGTTAATAATTGCCCTGTTTTTTTCATTTGCTTAGTTTTCCATATTATACCGATTGCTAATTCTTCCTCCTCCCAGTCCGACGGTTCCTCTTTTTTCTGTACACTTCTGTTCATCCCCCGCCTAAGTGAATGCTGTTGGCTCTCTAGAACTGCAGTGAGCACTTCTCCTGGGAGTTCTGTTTGCCATGTTCTGGGCTAGATTCCCTAATTCCTGGACCCCCATGTCTTTTTTCATAATTCTTCCATTTTTGGTCAGGGAACTAAGATCCCACATGCTTCATGGCATGGCCAAATAATAATTTGAAAAAAACACTTGGGCTTCCCTGGTGGCATAATGGTTAGGAATCTGCCTGCCGATGCAGGGGACACGGGTTCAAGCCCTGATCCGGGAAGATCCCACATGCTGCAGAGCAACTAAGCCCATGTGTCACAACTACTGAGCCTGCACTCTAGAACCCGCGAGCCACAACTACCGAAGCCCGCACACCTAGAGCCCGTGCTCCGCAACAAGAGAAGCCACTGCAATGAGAAGCCCGCACGCTGCAATGAAGAGTAGCCCCCACTCGCCGCAGCTAGAGAAAGCCCGTGGGCAGCAACAAAGACCCAATGCAGCCATAAATAAATAAATGAATAAATAAATAAGCAAACAAATAAATAATTTTAAAAGAACTTAAAATGTAAGCAAGAGTATATGAAATGAGCAGGCAAACTTGAAAAAGAACCAAACAGAAGCTCTAGAAATGAAAAATAAAACATTTGACACATAAAACTCGATGAGTTGGTACAACCACTAAAAACAAACAAAAACCAAAAAAACTTCAATAGATTGGTTTAGCAGTTGATGAAAGACTTAATTGGAAGATAGATTTGTGGAAATTATTCAGAATGCCAGAAACAGAGAAAATAGGAGCTATTAAGAGACAAGGCGGGGGACTTCCCTGGTGGTCCAGTGGCTAAGACTCTGTGCTAGAACTGATGAAAGACATCAATTCATAGAATCAAGAAACCTAAGGAATCCCATTTAGATAAATACAAAGAAAACCATACTTGGACACATCACAGTAAAATGTAGAATACCAAAGACAAAAAAATCTTAAAAGCAGTTGGAGACAGAAAGTATCTTCAAAGGAACAGTAACAACAAAAAAATGAAATAGATGACAGCTGACTTACAGCAACAGTAGACACCAGAAGACAGAATAAAATTTTCAGTATATTGACAGGAAATAACTATTAGCCTAGAATTCTACACCCAGCAAAAAAATAACTTAAAAGGGTAAAACACTAGCCAAGATAGGACAACAGCACAAAATAAAGGAGTAGAAATATATCCAAGAACGTTAATTACAATAGATAAAAATGACTAAATACTGGGACTTCCCTGGCTGGCAGTTCAATGGTTAAGACTGTGCTTCCACTGCAAGGGGCACAGGTTTGATCCCTGGTCAGGGAACTAAGATCCCACATGCTGTGTGGCATGGCCAAAAAGAATGGACTGTACTTCAGTTATTAGAAGACAAAGATTTAAACAGTCCGTCTACAGGCCATTCTTAAGAGGCAGAGAATGAAAGTAAAAGAATCAAAACTCAACATACTTGGAATAGAAGGGAACTTTCTCAGCCTAATAAAATCATCTATTAAATAAAAAAACACAGCAAACATATTTTATGGTGAAATATTGAAATCATTCCCTCTATTGTGAGAAACAAGTCAAGGGTAGCCACCCTTTCTTCCATCCAGACAGAGGCAAGAAAAATAAGAGATAGTTCCCCGGTGGTCTCGTGGTTAGGATTCTGGGCTTTCACTGCCACGGCCTGGGTTCAATCCCTAGTCGGGGAACTGAGATCCTGTAAGCCGCGTGGCACAGTCAAAAAAAAAAATAATAAAAATAAGAGATATAAAAATTAAAAAGGAAGAACAAAACTATTTTTTCATAGATATGATTATAAATACAGAAAACCCAGAAGAATTTTCAAGGAAATAAATAAGTTTTAGATTTGCTGGACATAAAATTATTTTCATAAACTATGAATGATAGCATCACGATACCAAATACATAAGAATAAATCTAACCCATAAAGGCATGATCTTTACGAGAAAACATACATAACTTTATTGAAAACATTACATGGAGAGATACACCATGTTCACGAACTGGAAAATTCAATTTCATGTGGATGTTGATTTTCCCCAAACTGATCTATAGATTCAGTTGGGTTCCAGTCACAATTTCAAGGGGGGGGGGGGGGTTTATTGGTGGAACTTGACAAGCTGATTCTAAAATTTATATGGAAGAGCAAGGGCCAAGTAGATCTTAGGAAATCATACACAGGGGTAGATAAAATGATCAGTGGGACAAGAGAGAAAAATAAATTGTGGTATATTCAATGGATCACTATACAGCAAGGAAAAGGAGTGCTCTACAGCCACACACGTTAATTTGGATAAATCTTAGAAATATTGAAGGAAAAAGCGAATCACAGAAGAATAAACATGGCGTGGCTCCGTTTATATAAAATTCAAAAACATGCAAAACCAGTACAAACATAGCTAATAAAATCACAGGGCAAAGCAAGGGGATGATGAAGACAGCACAGTGTTTCCTCTACCAGGGAGGGGCACAGCAGGGACCTCAAAGGAAATAGTATCCATTTCTTAAATGGGGGTGGGGAGGGTGTTGTTTCTATTTTATAAACATTTCCTTATCTTTTCACTATAAAAAAAAAACAACAAGAAAAGATATTCTGGAGGGTGAGGGGTAAAGCAGTAGAGGAAACAGAAGTCTTCCAATGCTTATGTACGGCACAAAGTGATAGGTACACCAAGTTCCTAACAGAGTTAAAAAATAGTAATAGAGCATGCTGTTTAGAAAAACAAAGAAGTCTTAGCAGCTCAAACCTTTGTGGGCATGGGCGGGGCCTGTCAGAAGGGTGGGCTTCTCTGCGGGTTCTTGGAAGGCAAGCCTGCCATGTCACTGAAGGACTACCCCCCTCCCCCAGCAGCACTTGTAGGTTTTCACTTAACTCCATTTTTGGTCCAGTCCCTCACCCCCACCCTCCCCAGGGCCCCCCGAGATGCAAAGCTTCTTCGAAAAGCCCCCGCCTCCACCCCAGGGGGGTAGCGAGGGGTCAGGTGGGTCCTGGGGGGCAGGGCAACCTAGCTGTTTCTCATAGAGACCTTGAATCAGTCCCGGCCCTACTGTCAGCCCCAAACCTTGCCTTCCACGGTGAACCTCTCCAGGGCTCCTGGGGGTAATCGGGCTGCCTCTTGGCCCCTCCAAGAAGGGAACGCTTAATTTCAACTTCTAATTCTCTAAGAGAGTAAATGAGCCTCTATCCACTTTCCATCTTTCAGAATGTTGTCAGGCTCTTTGGTCTAGTGCTGTCTCCCTCCTATTTTCTTTGTCTTTGTACATTTACATCATTTTTAATTTCTTTACTATCATTTTAGATTTTAAGAGGAAACAAACTCACATGTTTAAACCTGCCACATTTAACTGGAAATGTCTATTTACTATATTTAAATAAAAGTGTTTAACAAGTAGCTCCTGAAGCGTCCAGAGAGGAGGAGCTTAGCAGTCTCGGCACCATCCAGCCAGCACAGATGCTTGAACAGCCCCACCTGATCTCTCTGCCTTGATTTTTTCGGCTGTTCAAGGGGGAAGGAGAAAGCACAAAGGTCTGGGTTCAAATCCGGACTCCTCCATTTACTGCCACGTGATCTTATCACATCAACTCTCAGAGCTTTATCACCCACATAATTGCTGCCCAGTGCACCAGGTTAGCTGGAGAGAAGTTCACTGAAATTGTTGCTGTGAAATGTTCCTAACTATAAAGCACTGAACCTGGGGAAGAATTCTGGATTCTCATACCCTGGAACACTACATTCTGCCGTAAGCTGCTGGCCACCCCCCGCCCCAAGGCCGCAGGAGGCAGAGCACTGGCTGCTCACACCCTCAGGCATTCTGTGGTTCCCAGGCCTGCCAATCAGAGGAACCAAAAACAGCAACCCTGGAAACAGTGAAGGTCCAGAAACCCACAGAGACGGAGGGAGTCCAAGAACCAAGTGGGCACTTTATTAACCTGGCAAAGGGGCAGCTGGGCAGGCCGAGCAGCCCCCTGCCAGACCCTTCGCTGTACTCAGGGGCCACTGATAGAGGCAGAGCCGCAGGGCCCAAGCCCTGGACACTAGGAGTCCAAGCTGGGCAAGGGCAAGGCTAAGGGTGGGGCTGGAGTTGCCGAAAGCAGGCATCAAGTACCAGCGTACCAGCCTGCCGCCCCTTCTGAGGCTGGGGGTGGGCCTGAAAGGAGTTATCTGAGTCCCCTCTCCTGTTCCCCACTCCTTGTACAGCTCAGGCTCTTCCTGGAGTCAGGAAGCCATGAGTCCCACATCAGCTGTGGTCTGGAACGTGATGCCGTCCCCCGGCAACGGGGAGGCCAGGAAGGGCCAGAGCCAGACAAGGACCCAGCGGGGCCCCAGGGCCGCCTGCAGGTTGTGGGAGAGGCCCAGGTCGTAAGAGCGCTGGCCCCGAGCCCACTCCCACGTGGTCTGGCCCCTCAGCAGCAACATCCCATGGAAGAGCAGTCCAGCCCCGCACAACAGTGCACCCGCCACACACGTGTCGGTCACGAAGGCCAGCGCGAACTGCGCCAGAGACACTCTGCCTGCAAGGAGAGAGCAGAGAGGGTCAAGGAGAAGCAGCAGGCCCCAGCCGTCCCAGAGCCCAGCTCCTGCCCTCCTCCCATCCCCTACTCCACCACGAAGCAGGGCGCATTCCTCCACTCAGCAAACACTGAGTTGTTGCTCCCTGGCCAACCCATGCCGGCTGATGGGAACACACTAGTGAAACGGGCAGACACAGCCCCCTGCCCTAGATGCGACTTTCACTCATTCATCACAAACTTGTGAGCACCTCCTATGAATACCAGGATGAATGGCAGGTAGCATGTCCGACCTCAGGGAGCTCACAGACAGACATTCAAGAGATCATGTCTCAGTTACTTAATTACAGCTATGATGTGTGTGACAATGCAAAAGTACAGCACCTTGCATCATCTTGACCCACAGAAGGTAGTAAATATCAGGTGAACTAATGAACTACATGATGCCATGAAATGTGATGTCAAGCGAGAGAAGGCAGACACAAAAGGTTATGTATCGTATGGTGCCGTTTATATGAAATGTCCCAAACAGACGAATCCATAGAGACAGAAGATTAGTGGTTGCCAGGGGCTGGGGGCACTAGGGGGAAATAGGGAGTGACTGCTTAATGGGTACTGGGGGCGATGAAAAGGGTCTGGAATTAGACGGTGGTGATGGCTGCACAACACTGCGAATATACTAAACGCAGCTGAACTGTGCACTTGAAAATGGTTAAAATTATGAGTTTCATGTTACGTGAATGTTTTTCCAATAAAAAAAGAGAGCCTACTGGTGGGGAGATGACATGGAAACTTATTAAGAGGCTCAGGGAAATAAACTTCATCTATTTTGACAGGGATATTTTGAGTGATGCCTGAAGGTTAAGGAGGTATTTGCTAAGTGAAGAGGGGAGAACACATTCTGTGTGAAGGTCCTGAGGCAGGATGGAGAGGTGCCTGCGAGACAAGTGAGTGGACAGTTCTGGAAGCTCAGGAGAGAAGCCCAGGCTGGATACGCAGATTTGTGAGCGGTTGGTACCCGGGCGGTTCCGAGACCCGGCAGAGTGTGTAGGGAGATGAGAAGGGCGTCTCGACCTCAGCCTGGAAACCAGGTCCTTAGGGATCAGATATAGGGAAACCAGGAAGGAAGGAGGAAACCCCAAAGTACAAGCCGTCGGGGACGTCAAGCATAGAGCCCTTTAAGGAGGCTGAAGGCCAGCAGTTTTATGAGGCTGAAAGGTCTCATAAGCAAGAAAAGAACACAGAAGGGTCCTCTGGGTTTTGTGGAGACAGAGGCCTGGGGACTGTGGCAGTCTCGGAGGACGGGTGGGGGCAGAAGCCAGTTTGGAGCAGGTGGAGGAATGGGTGGGAGGCAAGGAAAAGCAGCCTATAGCCCAGGCAAGTCCTTTGACTTGGCTGCTGATGGAAGAGCCCGAAGGCATAAGCTGGAAGAGGAGGACGTGGGGTGAAGAGAGGCTTTGTACCAGCTGGGAAAACCCAAAGGAAGCCAGTGGAGGGAGCCTGGAGTGGCAGGAGGAGAAGCGACCCACGGTGTGAGGGCTCCCAGCAGGGAGGAGGGGTCGGGCACCAGGAGAAGGCGGGGCACAGGACGGGACAGCCAATTCTGGACGTGCCATCTGATGACTAATTTCCTCTGTGATGTATTTTCAGGAGAGGTTGGGGCTTGGAGGACAGGAAAGTGGGAAGATTTGAGCTGCAGCCATTAGGGGGAGGAAGCTTATGAGAAACCAGGGCAGCCAGGCACCGCTGAGGGCCTGTTGAGGTCAGCAGCCATGAACGTGACGTGACACCGACTGCCACATAGTACCAGGCATCTCTGGCAGCTCTCCGCAGCCAAGGGCAGACACAGAGAAGCCAGGAAGGCACAGCGGAAGGAAGACGGAGCAAAAAGTCTTGAGATGAGATGCTGCGGAAGGCTGGTGGAAATGAGGGCGCTACGCTGGACCTGGGGTGGTGAAGGGGGAAGGTGCTGATGGATAGAAAGGTGAGGGCCAGGAGCTCCGGAGGGGGGTCGCGGAGCACAGAATGAGAGATAGATAGGAGAGGCGGTGGGGGCAGAGAGAGGGGTGACATGGGGTGCTCTGGGAGGTGACACATTTTGGATTCTGACACGACTTGGGTGGGGATGTGGGAGTAGGGGAAGGGAGGAGGGGAGGAGAAGGTCACGAAGCTGAGTGACTGGGGCCATTCACCCACGCTTTCAGATACCTATGGCTTCAGCAAGGCCCAGGGCTGAGAGGGAGACGAGGGGCCAGAGCCCAAGTCTTCGGTGACTGCGGGGAGCGAGTGGGAGATTGTGGATGACCGGGGGTTGGGAGCGTGCAGACAGGAGCAGCTGGAGGGCTTGAGTCTCAGTGGAGGCAGGGGGGTCATGAGGAGGGCAGAGGAGGGCTGCTCAGGAAGCCAGTGTGGGCACAGGAAAACCCTGACAGCCCCACTGGGCCTCCCAAGACGCCCCCTGGGCTGCAGGGAGGGGGTCCTGGGGACAGAGCTGGGCTTGGATAGGATGAGACAGAGCCACTATTCAGAGTTGTCAGGGAGTTTAGTAATTGCAGGACAAGGTTACAGAGAGGACCGTGGACAGGTCAGGAGGAAGGAGTCAGGGAAAAGCAAGCCCGAAGCATTTTGGGGGGCAGAGAACAAAGTATAAAAAACCAGTGGGGGGCTTCCCTGGTGGCGCAGTGGTTGAGAATCTGCCTGCTAATGCAGGGGACACGGGTTCAAGCCCTGGTCTGGGATGATCCCACATGCCGTGGAGCAACTCAGCCCGTGAGCCACAACTACTGAGCCTGCGCGTCTGGAGCCTGTGCTCCGCAACAAGAGAGGCCGCGATAGTGAGAGGCCCGCGCACCATGATGAAGAGTGGCCCTCGCTCGCCGCAACTAGAGAAAGCCCTCGCACAGAAACAAAGACCCAACACAGCAAAAATAAAATAAATAAATAAACTCCTACCCCCAACATCTTCAAAAATATAATAATAATTATTATTATGTTTAAAAAAAAACAACAGTGGTGTTTCTACCTTGGGTGGTGTCAGAAGAAAGTGTCAAACAGAACACAGCCTCTCAATCAGTCTCCTGATTCAAAACATCCCCTCCCCACTTCCAAAGACTGGACCTTCCCCTGCCTGTAACTTTCACTGGCTCCCCACTGCCCAGTCAAGTAAGGACCAACTCCTCACACTCCATTCAAGGCCCTCCACCATCCAGTCCTCACTTACTGCCCTAGCCTTAATTCTCACAATTCCCACCAAATGCCTTCACTACTCCGTGCCCAACCTCCAAGCCTTTGTTCACACTGCTCCCCTAACTCCGAATGCCCCCCACTTAGAATGCTCTCTCACCGTCCCATCCCCCTCTAGGTGAAATCCCACTAGTCTTTCCTCCCGATTCTCTCAGCCAGAACTCTGTACCTATGCCGAGGCCCTGTATTTTACCAGACGGCACACCCAAGTGAATACCAGGCTCCCTTCACCTCCCGTAACTGACGTGGGGACTAGGTCCCCAGGGCGCTGCCTGGAGAACCAGGCGGAAATCCCATCGCCTACCAGAATGGGCCTCTGCCTCTCTGTGGAGGCCTCCCCGGCCCCCCACCTGTGAGCAGCATGAGCCAGGGCAGCAGGAGGAGGGCGGCGGTGTGGAGGGGTGTGTGGGCTCGCAGCAGGGCCGACAGGGCAGGGCCCAGCAGCACAGAGACGTGCAGCAGGACGCCTGCGGCGTGAAGCAGCAGACACAGGAAGGGCCGGTAGTTGTGGAAGCCCACGCAGCGGCCCAGCAGGCGGCAGTGGTGGTCCCGGCGAAGGATGCAGATGCGGCAGGCAGAGCAATGCCCGCTGCGCGGTGGCACCTGGCTTTGGCACTGGTAGCAGTAACTGCAGGGAAGGAACCACAGGGTCAGTTCCCCCAGCAGCTCTGAGTGCCCCATTTCATGCCCGGTCAGCCCCTGAGCCCATCCTGGGGAAGCAGGCACAGCCCCTGCCCTATGCTTCAGGTTCTTCACAGGTAAATGCAGGCTAAACACCACTTCCCAGGCCCTTCCATTCCTGGCACAGCAGGTCTGAGGGCTCTTCCAGCTCTGAGAGCCCCAGTACTGAGGCCTTTCTCTGGTCTCTAACATCTGGAAGCAAACTTCTCCTGTCCTCCACTGTTACCACCTCCGTCCAAGTCACCATGAGCTCCCCCCTGGATTATTGCAACAGCCTCTTGCCTGGCTTCCCTGACTCCACCTTTGTCCCAACTGGTGTAGTCTCACCCCAGCAGCCAGACTGATCCTTTTAAAATCTAAGTCAGGGGAACTCCCTGGAGGTCCAGTGCTTAGGACTCCGCGCTTTCACTGCCGAGGGCCCGGGTTCGATCCCTGGCACGGCCAAGAAAAAAATAAATCAAGTAAATAAAATCTAAGTCATGTCCCTCCTCTGCTCAAAACCCTCCAATGGCTCTCCGTTTCACTTCTAGTAAAAAGCAAAGTCTTCGAGGTCTTACAAGGTCTTTATGTCTCTGACTTCTCCCCCCTCACTCCACTTTGGCCACACTTGCTGTTCCTGGAACATGCTGGGCAAACAAATGCCTCAGAGTCTTTGCATCATCTGTTCCCTCTGCCTGGAACGTTCTTCCCCCAGATGACTGTGGCTAACTCTCCCCCCTCCAAGTCTTTGCTCAAATGCCACCTTCTCAATGAGGCCTACCTTGACCACCCTATTTCCAACTGCAATTTGAGTCTCCTTTATCCTGCTCCTTCTGTTTCCTTACCACCAACACCTTCTAACATTCTACATTATTTTCTGATTTATTACGCCTAAAGTTTATCATCTGCCCCTCCCTGAAATCAGGAATATGTTTTATTGTACCTCCAGTGCCTGGAATAGTACCTTGCACGTAGTAGGTACTCAAATATTTGTAAGTGGATGAATGATACTCCTTCTGCCGTCTGGTTCAAGCGGATCTTACTGTAAACTGGTTCTAACATCTTCAGGTCCTGAGGCCCTCCCCCTGCCCAAAGCTCCCGCTTCTCCCCGCGCCAGATCCCGTGCCCCACTCACGCCCAGCCCTGGCCCAGACCACGGCCGGCCAGCATCACACCCCGGATGCTGGGGTCCGAGCGCAGGAAGAGCCCCACGTTGCCCAGTAGATTGAGCAGCTGAAAGGTTGCCAGCGCAAGCTGCAAGGTCCGGGCCAAGGGTCCCAGTGGGGGCGGCCCGGGACCCAGTACCAGCACGTAGGCCAGCTCCAGGCCCACGGCCGCGGCCCACAGCGCGGTGAGCACAAGAGGAAGCCGCGCGGACGCTGCCTCCGCGCTCCCCACAGCCCTGGGCTGCCCCATGGCCTGGACCCACTAGCGGTCGGCTCACGGTACCCCTCCGCTTCCGTATTGGGGCGGGGAGAGTGGCAAACGGATGTCTGCTACGACCAATAGAAGCTCTGAAGGGGGTGAGCGAGCGTTGAGGTTCACGGGGAGGGCCCGCAGATACGGAGATGTGATTGAACGGCCGAACGAGCCAAAGAGATGCTTGGAGTCTCGTTGGCGCTAGAGCCGGTAGGGCAGCGCGGTTACAGCCCACCCGCGCAGGCCCCGCCCCTCCCGCAGAAGCTCCGCACGCTGGTCCCGCTGGCCCGCACTCCGGGAGGATTGAGTTGCAGTTTGGGTGCTGTCGGTGTTTCGCGGCTCAGCACATTTCCCCCTCTCCCTCTAGTCGCCCCGATATTAATAGCCCTGCTTCGGCCCATCCAGCTGGCTTGGAGCCCCTCCCCATGCTCTAGTGTCTCCCTTCATCACCCCAGAAAACATTCAAAACAGCTCGGCGCCTCGGTGTTTCTGACTGTGAAACGGGAATAGTGCTCCCTGTTTCCCACCAGCGCGGCGCAGGAAAAGGGTCATGAGGCCCAAAAGGTAGCTTCTAGAGCAGTCTGCAGCCACTATTATCGTCATCTTCGTTGTACATGTGAGGAAACAGACTCAGAGAGGGCCCGTGGCTTTCGCAAGAGTCACACAGCGCCCAAGCTGCGGAGCCGGAAAGCGAACCCCGGATCTCCGCCACGGGGTACATCCCAGTGCCCCCAAATTCTGCAGTCTCCTAGCCTCAGGACAACCTGCTGCCTGGTCCCGACCCGAGTGGCCTCGCCCCCATCCGGCCCCTCCCTTCTCTCCCATAATTAACAGGAATCCGATCCGGGGCTGGGCCGGGTGCTACTTAACGCGGCCCCCGTGTTCTGGAGCGCGCCGAACGGAGAGGAGCCAGGAGCCCGAGCGAGATGATGATGGTTATGCAGCCCGAGGGTCTGGGGACCGGGGAGGGGCCCTTCGCGGGCGGCGGCGGCAGGGGCGGCGAGTACATGGAACAGGAGGAGGACTGGGACCGCGACCTGCTGTTGGACCCGGCCTGGGAGAAGCAGCAGCGGAAAGTGAGTGCTAGCCCATTTCCTGATGGCAAAACTGAGGCCTAAGAAGCCAGACGGTTTGTCCTTGGCATCTCAGCAGATCAGGGGCAGAGCCTGTCTTAACCCTCAGTGCCACTTCCTCGCCCAGGCTCTGACCATCAGTCCTCTGCTGTCCCCCAGGGCCCGAAGAGAGGGCTGGAGACCCTCACGAGGGGTTTAGGAGGACAAGAAGAGTTTCAGGGGTCCCCACCCCACAGGGTTCATTCCCCTGGGCCCACTGCTCCACTTCTGCTAAGGAATATGGTTTGGGCAAAGCCCAGGAAATCCAAGTTCAGGGTGTGGGTGGGGTTGGGAAGAATGATCTTTGTCTCCACAACCCCACTCTCTAGTGAAATATTCCCAGACCCCACCTGCGGACTTGCAGCCAGGCAGCTAGAGGACTTGGGAATGTGGGGAAGGGGTAACCGTCGCAGACCCCTTCCCCACCCTCTCTATGTTCTCTTCAGCGTGGTGTCCGTGGTCACTCTATCCCAACTGTTAAATGAGGAAACTGGGGCTGAGATAGGAGCCAAATCATATGCTGTCAGAAAACAGGACACCCCGTAACCTGAGGGTTTTTGCCCGTTGCTTGCCCCACCCCCATTCTTTCCCAAGATACCCCTCCTTACCCCAGGGGCCCTGAATCTGCTGAAAAGGCCACAAGGTCGGGGAGGAGGGGAGCCCTGGGTTCCCTTTCGCCGCAGGTAACCTGACTCTCTGGCCAGATAGACACTTCGTGCTGAGGCAGCACCTTGGAGAGCTGAGAGGGGCACATGGGCAGCTGCTGCCCAGGCCCAGCCTTGTAAGGCACTCGGGCCTCCCCTCCCCGATCTATTTTCACTCGCAGACTTTCCCAAGTGGAGGGGGCAGGACACCTGGGGACCCAAAAGAGAAAATGATCCAGGCTGGAGTGAGGAAACTTTGGGGAGTGTGGCAGGACAGCGGTAGGAGTGTACCACGAGGTCATTAGACCCTGCTCAGCACTTGCCAACAGTGTATGAGTCCAGGAAAGGGCAGGGGAACAGGGGTGTTTGGTGGAATTTGCAGGATCTGAGAATCCCAGAATTTAGAATCAGAGCATTTCCGCTGGGTTAGTTGATAGGAGATGACCCCAGGGGCTGGGAGGCTCAGCTGACTCGGCTAGGGTGCCCGGGGTGACACGCCTCCCCCCAGGCTCCTCCTGCACCTGTCTCCAAGCAGGGCTGTGGTCCTTGGGACCAGCAATCTCCCAGTGATGTCATCCCTGCCCCTGGCTCCAGCTGCCATCTGCTCTGCAACAACTCCTATCCCCCCCCACCCCCCACCCAGGCCTCTCCCAGATCCAGGTCCACATGCCCCTCATAAGATACAGGCTAGTCTGTAACTTGCTTTCATCACTTAAAATATCAGGAGCATCCTTCCAACCCAACTTACAGCCACCCACCTCACTGACTCATTCAATGATTGCACAGAGGAGACGCTCTGTAAATTCATCAGCACCCCCTGGAGCTGGATGTTCCGGTTGTTTCTCATCTAACATTGTTTATTACAATGTAATGAACATCTCTGTGCTCAGCTTTAGTCCCACCCCCATGCCTACTTCTCCTCCATGTCTTGAAGCACTCCTGCCTCCCCCACCTGATAACCGAGTCCTCTTTATTCAACCTCATTGCAAACATTCATTCATTGTTTCTTAGGGAGGTCCTAGTATGTGCCAGCCACTGTTTTAGGTGCCAGCAATTCAGCAGGGGACAAAATTAAAGACACCGCCTCAGGGAGCTTATATTCTAGCAAGGACAAATGTTTTCATCTCATCCACTTGATCCTGCCCTGTCCCACTCACTGACACCTTTCCTCCCTCACCCTGGTCTCAGTCGGCACCTCCTCACTTCTCCCTTCTGCTCTGTGAAGCCATTTGTCTCCCCTCTGCAACCAGAATGAGCTTTCTAAAACACAGTGCTGCCCCTCCCTGTCCTGTGCCTGAAAGCTTCCCTTGTTGCCCTCAAGATCAAGTTCAGACTCCCTGGCTTAGCACTCAAGATCGTGCATGACCTGGCCTCTGCCGCCCCTCCGGCCTGCCTCTCACCACGTATACCCCAACACCCCCAGAGCAGTGCCCAGATAGCTGTAGCTCCGCAAACCTAGTAACTGTTTCTCATTGCCAAGCACTTGCCCGTGTGGCTGCCCCTGCCTGGAATGCCCTTGCCTGCCCTTCCCTGCCTGAGTAACTCCTGCTCTTCCATCACAGTTCTGATCAATTATTAACCTTCCCCAAGAGGTCCCCCACTTGATATGAAGAACTCCTCCCCTAGTCTCCCCAATACTAGTCTCTCCCAGCACTTCTCAGACCAACAGGACTCTTTGACTGACTGTGAGTTCCTTTAGGGCAAGGAGCAAATCTCATTAAAAGTCATGTTTGTCAAATGAAAAATGCGCCTTCCTCCACCACGGAGGCCTCACCCAGTCCTGCCTTTCCTCCTGCCCTATCTCGACCCAGCACCCACTTACACAGCGGAGGGAAAGAATTCCAAATGATTTCCAGGGCCACCTCCCTGGAGTATCTGCTTTGCGGTGGCGGCGGGATGCTCTCAATTCCAGAATCCTGCAAGGTCAGGGGAAGAAGGACCTGAGACATCACTGAGTCTGAACCCTTAATTGTGCAAATGGAGAGACTGAGCCCAAGAGAGGTCAAGGGGCACATCCCAGGTCACAGAGAGTGAGTAGCTCAGCTGGGATTGGAGCCCAAGTATGGATTCCACCAAGGACTGCTGATGGCAGAATCCAGGGCCTCGAGGCTTGGTAGGTTGGTAGAAACTTGTGCACTAGGTCACTGCCATCCCCCAAAGACACGCAGCCATATACCACCCCTCCCATCTCAGACAGAGGCTGAGGCGGAAGCACACTCTGGCCGGCGAGGGAGGGCAGTCTCCTCCAGAAACTGGGTCAGGCTGGGCCTGAGTGTCCAGCTGATCCTCTACAGCCTGCAGAAAGCTCTTGCAGCCTCATGGTCTGCTTGAAGGCCAGTTCACAGCAGCCTTAAGGGATTGGTGAGCCTGAGATAATAAGAACACAGGTGCACAGTCCCTCAGAGCCATCTGTGCTTCACAGAATTTTTCAGATTTGAGGCCGCATCACCCTGCACTGGCTCTTGTGCCTCAGAGAGCCCCACACTTTGGAGTGTCTGCTTTACAGGTTTCTAATTCCCCCTTCAGTGCTTGTTGTGCCGGCAGTGAGGCACCCCAAGTCCAAACGGGGACCTGAATGGGCCCCAGACCCCATTTCTCCTTTTCCAGGAGAATTAAATCTCAGAGAGGGAAAGGGGCTGGCCCCAGATGCACAGCAAGTCAGTGGCTGAGCCGGTACTTGAATCCAGGGCCCTGGGCTCTGAGATCTGCCCTGACAGAGGAGCCGGGGCGCTGTCCTCAGCACTAGGGGCTGAGCACTGTCCTCTGCCCCCAGACCTTCACTGCCTGGTGCAACTCGCACCTGCGCAAGGCTGGCACCCAGATCGAGAACATCGAGGAGGATTTCCGCAATGGCTTCAAACTCATGTTGCTCCTGGAGGTCATTTCAGGTGAGGGGTGCAAATCAGTGCACAGGGACCCCAGGACACAGGGGAAAACCCAGAGAGCTGGGGGAGTAGTGGCATCAGAGTGCTGGAGGGGGATTGCTGAGGGAGGGGGAAGTTTGAGGACCATGTCTTCAGCTTCCTCTCATGACCTTTGACCCTTGACCTCTCCCCTCACACCCAGGAGAGAGGCTGCCCAGGCCAGACAAAGGCAAGATGCGCTTCCACAAGATCGCCAATGTCAACAAGGCCCTGGACTTCATTGCCAGCAAGGGGGTGAAGCTGGTGTCCATCGGTGCCGAAGGTGAGGCGGTGGCAGGAGGAGGCCTGGGCAGGGGCCAGGGGTGCGGTCCCTCATCTCAACAATGGGGATAACCGTCCGTGCCTCGCAGGAGGGACTGTCCGG